CAAATTTTGAATGTTTAAGTCTGCCACCAACTCTGATTATACCCTTGTCATCTAAGAATGGGGCTAATCGTAAGATTTTACTTCTAGAGTTAACAGGTTTAGATTTTGATAAGTCTTGATACTCAGTCGGAAGCTCTTGCCTTTGAACAGTTCTAATAAGAGTATATAGAGCATGATTAAGTTCTTGAGCATCAAGTGCTCCGGATTTTCGATTTGCCTTAGATAAGCGGCAATTATCAAAGAATCGATAACAGTAAGCAGTGACTCGTTGAAGCTTGTTAAGATTAGAAAATCTGTTAATAAGATCCAGTCCTTCAGTAACTGTAGACTGAAAAGAAATTAATTTTTCCTTGCGTCTCTCAGGTGCATCAGAATTGACTATAGTACTTGAAGCACTAGTGGGCCATTGTTCTTTAGGATACAGCAACCATTTAGGGCCATTCCACCATAGAGAATTATCAATTAAAGACGTAGGGCTAAGACCCCGAGAGAGCAAATCAGCTGGGTTTTCTTGAGTATTGACGTATCTCCAAGAATCCGAATTTGTTAATGATTGTATTTGTGTCACTCTATTAGCGACAAAAATTTTCCACTGGGTAGAAACAGATTTGATCCATGATAAAACTATAGTTGAGTCACACCAGTAGAAGATATGAGTAATAGGAAGATCTAACGAGATTATGACCTTATGAGCCAACTCTGCCAGCAACAATGCGGCGCACAATTCGAGCCTAGGAATCGTAATTGTTTTGAGGGGAGCCACTCTTGTTTTAGAGCAAAGTAAGTGACAATGATAAGTACCCTCTGAATCTAAAGATCGAATGTATATACAGGCACCGTATGCCATTTCACTGGAGTCAGAGAAGCCGTGGATTTCTAATAGCACTGGATTGTTAGGTAGAACATGTCTAGGAATTTTTAATGCATTTAAATCTTGAAGTTGATTATGGAATTTAATCCAGCTAGTATAAAGGTCTTGTGGGATTGATTCATCCCAATCAAGTTTGTACTGCCACAATTTTTGAATAATGCATTTTGCTATGATTATTACAGGTCCTAATGGGTCGAATATTTGAGAGACACAAGATAGGATTTTTCGTTTAGTTGGGCAGGAATTATAAGTAGCCTTTATTGAAAATTGTAGTGTGTCGGATTGAGAGTTCCAAAGAAGACCTAAAGTTTTGTTATTGCAATCCTCACCGAAATTTAATATGGTATTATCCCCTTCAGATTGCTCACAAAGTACTTCCGGTGCATTGCACATGAATTTACGGAGTGGAAAGCCACCAGAAATGAGAATTTCAGACAGGTTTTGTTTAAGGTATATTGCTTCATCAATTGATGAACACCCTGTGCAAAGATCATCAACGTAAAAGTCCCTTGCGATTATTCTGCTAATGTCTGGATGTGTATCTTTACATTGTATTGACAGTTCCTTTAAGCATCTTGTAGACAGAAAGGCTGCCGGTGCTGTACCGTATGTAAGCGTATTTAATTGATACGTATGTATTTCTGAATCAGGATTAGGTCTCCAAAGAATAAGTTGTAGCGAGCGTTGTGATGAATCTACCAATACTTGCCGGTACATTTTAGTTATGTCTCCAGTCAGCATAATATTATGTTTTCTTGCTCGCAAAACTATGGAAAATAGATCATCTTGAATAGTTGGACCAGCTACTAAAATGTCATTAAGTGATAAGCCACTAGTTGTTATAGCTGATCCATTGAAAACCACTCTTAACTTGGTGGTAGTGCTAGACTCCTTTACCACACCGTGGTGGGGCAAATAATAGCAAGGTTTGTCTGATAATTCAGAGTCATTTATTTTGGTCATGTGACCAAGAGCTTCGTATTCGCTTAAGAAATCTGTATAATTTGCCTTTAGTTCAGGATTTCTTTGTAATCGCTTTTCTAAATTGAATAAGTATTTGGTTGCTACTTCTTTTGAATCGCCAAGAGAGCAAGCCGGTTTCTGAAACGGTAGTTGGACGATAAATTGACCCAACGAGTTTCTAATAGTAGTAGTTTTGAATAGTTCTTCACAGAGAATGTCATCTGAAGATGAGGATTTAGGAACATTGATTTCTTCAATTTCCCAGAATTTAGCTATTTGTGAATGAATAGCCTGATCAGAAGTACTCAGATTGCATGAGATAGAAATGTTAGGAGGTTGTATGAATTGGGGTGAATGTATAGTGCCCGAGACAATCCGACCAAATTGAGTTTTTTGCAATGTAGGCAAATGCTTGCCAAGCTTTACTTGCCCTACCATGAGCAGATCCCAGAAGTGATCAGCACCAATCAAAATGTCGATTGGACCAGGTTCATTGAATGTTGGGTCTGCTAGTATCAGATTATGAGGGATATTTAAGCTTGACGTGTTAATAAAGTTTGAGGGTATTCTGCTTGTAATTTTAGGAATAACTAAACATTTAAAACTTGTTTTAAATGGGACTTGACGTGCTTGAACAGATACAATGGTTTGTTTTAAAATGTTTGTGGTTTTTTGCCCAACTCCTATAATAGAACATTGTATTGGAGTTGTACTTATATTTAATTTTTTACACATTTCCTCAGAGATAAAACTTGACTCACTACCGCTATCAAGCAATATACGACAAGACAATACATTTCCACGATTATCAAATATGTCTACCAGGGCAGTTGACAATAAGACAATGCTTGGAGAATCATTACCTGCAATTAAACAATTTGCGCTAATTTCAGGAGAATCGGAAGTTTCAGTAGAATTGTTAGCATTACGATTGAAATTAGAATTGTCTTGCGATGCATTTCTACTAGATGAATTATGATTATTCGACTTAAATTATTATGGTTTTGTTGATTATTGAAACCAAAGTGTAACAAAGTATTATGTTTATTGTTGCATTTTCTGCAGTGCATAGAACGACACTGGTTAGTTGAATGATTATTTCGCAAACAATTGATACAAAGTTTCAATTTTTTTACTTCAGCTAGCCTAGAATTTGGACTTAGCGCGATAAAGGATTTGCAGTTATAAATAGTATGATCTTTATTGCAAAAATAACAGGTTGGAGAATTACTTGAAAATAAGCTTCTTACATTTTGTTTTACCTTATTGCCTTGAATATTTAAAGTTTCAAGAATTCTGCATTTTTCGGACAGAAAATTGCAAAATATTTCTCGCGTTACTGTGTCATGTTTGGCATATTCACACTCCCATTCACGACGAGTTATTGAATCCAGTTTTGTGGAAAATAAATGAATTATTAATGCATCCCAAGAATCTACAGGTTCTTCTAGAACTTGTAAGGCTCTTAAATGCCGATTCATGCCATCTAGAATGTTTCTTAATTCTAGATGGCATTCTTTTGTAGCAGGTTTTGCCTCAAATAAAGCCTTTATATGATTTTTCTTCAATAAAGGTTTATTTTCATAACGTTGAATAAGTAGATTCCATGCTACAATATAATTGTTTGCTGAGACTTCAAGCGATTTTAATAAATCCGCTGCTTGAGCCTTTAACGATAAGCGCAAGTAATGGAATTTATTAATATCAGGTATAGATTTGTTATTATGAATTAACGATTGAAAAGTGTCTTTAAAGAATAAAAACTGATCGAATTTTCCATCGAAAGATGGTAAAGATATAGAAGGTAACTTAACGTGTTGTGTTGCTGCATTTGAAATATTAGAATTGCTAGAGATTGATGTATTATCTACATTTTGATCGCCAGAGTTATTTAAAATTGCTTGACCTATAGAAACGACACTATAATAACTGTCTTCGAACTCTAGACGTTCGTTTTGATTTACTGTATCATTACTGTCTTCTAAACATTCTATTTGAGTTTGAATATCATCAAAGGCTTGAAATAAAGGTTCAATTTTTGATAATCTAACTTCAAGTTGAGTAAAGTCAGGATTAGTTTTTGATTTTTCTTTATCTAAGTAATTTTTAAATTTTGTTATCTGAGATTTATAATTTCCACGAGAGATATGAAGCTTTTTAAGTTCAGAAGCAAGCACCTCGTTTGGCATTTTGAATGATTAATAGTGTTCTATTTTGTTAAATTGTAAATCTACCTTAATATTTGTGAAATGTACAATAGAAAAACAGCTAGAATGTGGAAATGAAAGAAATAAGGTTTAAAAATAGTTCAAATGCTAGTGTTATATTGTAACAAATATAACGAAATGGTTAAAATGTAAGATATGATGCAATAGGTAGCTAATAAGTATTAAATATGTGCATAAATAATTCAATGAATGTAACGTAAATTCAGCAAAAATATGTTTATTTTATTGTATAAAATTGATTCGAGTCTTTTAAGAATGAATTAAATAATAAAATCAAGTCGAAACAAGGATAAAATCATAGGAGTAGGTAAATGAAACGCTAATTACTGACCTTTGACTCTTGTTCGGTTGATCTGCATCTAATCGTCGAAAAATGCCGGCATGGAATTGTCTGCATGCGGTAGAACTTTTTCGGTTTCCAATTTACACGATAACTTATAATTGCACTAGTTATCATCCGCTCTATGAAGGACCAAACTATTATGTATGAATTATTATACATATAATTGTTATTCCAAAACTTTAATTGAAAAGATAAAAACGTTATAAAGTATAAAAACTGAATTTACAATATGCACTGAAAATGAATACAAGTCTTTATTTCAAAGTGAATGGATCTCGAATGCTGAAACTAGTTGTCGGTCGAAGGTCAACGTCGTAGGCCAAACACACGGTGGCTCCACGGGGGCGGAGGGGTTACCGGTTCCATGATGTGTGCGACAACTGTTATACAGGGGTCGATCAACAGTTAAACACATAGTATCGCAGTAAATAGTCACCGGTATTGAGGAAAATGGGAGAATAGTAAAGGACGAGAAGCTGAAGAGATTTTATCGGAAAATAAAACAGATAAAAAACAATCTGTAATTTGCGCTTTTATGCTTACACTATAAAACATGTTAGTTAAAGCATTCTCTAAAATTTTAATATTTTTTTACCTGGGTATTCCCGTGAATTTTTCGGGGACTGGTTGAGGTGGCTGCTCGTATTCTCGTATTTGTATCATAACTTTTCCCATGTGTTTTCCACTGCCCATATATCTAAATGCTTCCTCAAGTTGATCATATTTAAAGCAAGTTACTGGTAAAGAAAGAACAAAGTTACCAACATTTTCTTCAAATAGTTTAGCCAATGTCTTTTTTGTGTACGGAGTTTCAGTAAAGAATTGATCCAACATGACTCCATGGAAACTACATTCCTTTTGCAAAAGTAAAAGATTTATTTCGTTATTGTTAGCCAAATCGAATTTTCCTATTTCTACGAAACTACCTCCTGGTGCCAAACATCGAATCGAAGCTTGAAGTTTTTCTTCCGCTAGTGAATTGAGAACCACATCTACACCTCTGCCACCTGTATATTTCTTTATCATTGCTTCAAAGGAAGTATCACGTGAATTACCTATTTGTTGTTCTAAAATACAGAATGATATAAGTTATTAAAGAAGTTGTTACATTTTGCTTTTGAAATGGCTGAAATGAATGGAGGACTTAACATAAATAATGGAACTTAATAAAGCAAGAGGTATTTATATTAAAAAGTTTCTAACGTTGGAAGCGATATTGAATATAATTAGAAATATATCCGTACTTATATATATACTAGAAATGCAAGAAGAATACAAATAAAAATCTGAAACTTGTCAGCCTTTTTCTAATATTTTTTAAAAAAATTTTAAAATACAGAATTTGGCTATAGCCCTTTTTTTTGCAGTTACTTTAGGAAATCACAGTAAAACCCCAAGAAAAAACTTAAAAGCTAAAATATATTGAATTAAGATCAATCAGGGTAAATGTGGACAGCGGCAAATGAGGACATTTAAAATAAAATCATTAATAAAAGCGCTACGTTGAATTTGTCTTTGTATCTCCCTTTTATACTTAGGTGACATCTACCAACAATCTACGAACTCCCAATAAAAAGCTGTTATTTTGACGCACCTAACACTGAAGGTTAACCCAGTGGTTCCCAAAGTTTTTTAGTTCGCGGCGCACTTAATTAATAAACTAGAATTTTTCCGCGGCGCCCTGAGTCAAAATATTGATTTAACCGTTGATTGAATAACCCAAATAGATCTGCAGCCGTACACAAATTAAACGTAGCAACTATTCTGTTCTCAAAAAACCGTGTCGCCATCTATGTTCGAGAGAGAAAATTACACTACGGTTAAACATAAAAGATTTCTTCTCTTCATATTACCTCCCCTTAATTCTCAACGTAAATATTGCTTCCCCACTTTAATTCCTAAATAAATTTGTATTGTAATTTATTTGTGTCCTAGTCGATTTATTTTTTTGATGAAAAATGAATTCTTCTAAAATTACAACGACACGTTGTGTGTATAAAAATTGTAATCTCTCGAGAAAAGATGTGGTGTTATTTAAATTTCCTGTTAAAAATCTAGATAGGTGTAAAAAGTGGATGGAGAATTGTGGAAATGAAAATGTGCGAACCTATTTAACTGAAGACTTAAAACTATATCATATTTGTGAAAATCATTTTCAATCTACATCTTTTTATGATGCAACAGTGAAATCTAAAAAACTAATAAAAAGTGCAGTTCCTTTTAAATACCTATCGAGTGGTAAGTATTTATTTTATGTATACTTTTTTGTTTTTGGCAAAATCGCTTTCTTGTAAAATAATGATTTCTAACACAATTAACAAAATCTATTTTAATATCTTTGGCTATTGATTATATACTTTAGAAAGGAACTACAACGATCTAGGGGATTTATTGTTTCATATGGTCAATGGACCACAAGCAAAAAAAAAAACAAGAAAGAAAGAATTTTGTTTTTTGCCTTATAACTTTTTTCACGGAGATATAAATAAAGGTATTGATTGACATAAAAAAACTTTCATCCTTTCTCTTTAAAATGACGTTTGGTCGAAATCGTTATGATTTATAATTTTAGAAATATGATTTTTGAAAGATCGCCACTCACAGCATTTTTGGGCCATTTCCCTTATTATTTCGCAAACATTGTTCTGTAACTTTTTTCTACGAACCTTTAGGTAGATAGAATGTAGGGATGGTTGGAACAGGGATTTTTCAACAACTGTTGCAACCTGTTTCAGTTCCAAAAATTATCTGTTTCAAAAAAACTGCTTCAGTTCCAAACTGTTCCAAGTCTAACACTGTGTTATGGGTCGTTTCAGTACCGGTTCGGTTTGTTCCAGAAAGGTTGTTGCATTAACAATAGACCTGGTTACGTCAAGTTGGTCATTCGGAATTATCTCTGTATTTGATAATTTACATAGATTCTAGTAAAGATAACATAAGGCCTTCATTTATTGTATTTGTGGTTGTATATATTGAAAGTTTGAAGTTTTGTCGCGAGTCGACAATTATTCACAGTTTACAATCATGGTTTATGCGCATGCACATACTTTCCACTCCAATGGAACTGCAACAACCATATAAAAGCACAGCAATGCAACACCGGTCTCTGAAGTAATTGTAAATACACTGGTCTGTTGTGTGATCAAAAACTGTCATATTTGAAGAGGAAAACTTATTGATCAATATCTGTTCCAACCTGTTCCAAATAAAAACCTGTTTCGAAAAGAACAGATCCTGTTCCAAAGTGGAATTTTATTTGAAGAGAAGTCAATTACCGTTACGGTTGTATTCTATTGTACGAGGTTGTACGACTATTTTTAAGCAATTTATGGTTTTTCAAAGTTTATACATACTTTGAACGATTCTTGATATTTGTCACGATTATTTTTTAAAATTCGCATTATACTTTTTTTCTGGTACCTTGGAGTATATACCTGACTCAAAATTTTTTATTCAGCAATGTATATATGTACCTAAAGCTACCAGAAAAAAAGTTATGAGAAATCTAAAAATAATATCTAGTAAAAAGTATCAAAAATCGTTAAAAGTATAAAACTTTGAAATACCATATCTTGCTTAAAAATAGTCGAACAATGTTTGCGAAATAATAAGGAAAATGGACCAAAAATTCTGTGAGTGGCGAACTTTGAAAAATCATATTTCGGAAACTATAAATCCTAAGGTCTTCTACCAGAAGTCATTTTAAAGGGGATGAATGGACGCTTTTTTTGTGAAGCAATGTCTATACCTATGTATGAATCTACCTATATTCCCGTGAAAAAAGTTATGAGACAAAAAAAAAATTGCTTTCTTTTGTGTTTTTTTTTAATATATTTTTATAAAAAAAATATTTTTGACTTTAAAAAGTAATATTTCGATAGTAAATTTAATTTAGACCCTAGTGCATAGCGGTTAATTCACATCTTTCTCAAAAACGCACCCATTTAAATGATAGCACTCCGCGGTTTTTCATATTTAGGGGTGCATTGACCATATGAAACAAAAAAACCCCTTGAACGTTGTAGTTTCTTTAGCTCTTTTATTTTGAACATAATCAATAGCCTATCTGTATAATACATATAGATAACACAAGATATAGAATAACACAATTATGAAATTAATAAAAGTCCAAGGTGTTACTTATCTCAAAAAACAATCCAAAGTAAATAAAATTACTGATATATTACACGATAGGGGAGGTAACGGCACCTCTTTCTACGATCATTTTCGTATGAGCGCAAATTCGTAACTAGTTGTTCCCCGTAATATCCACTAGAGTCGCTGATTCTTGATGAAATTTTAATTTTTTGGGTTGCACGTTTCTCTCCATAAGCGTTGCGAATCTATATGGGTTATTCAATCAGATTTAACGTCTTAACTGTAGTTAATACGGTTTCTGTTGCAGTTGATATAGTTGGGTTAATTTAATAATAATGAAACATACTTTAAATTCACAAACAATTTATTGAAAAAATAATTACAGTAATTAATGGGATAAATGAGCTTGTCATTGTTCATTACACAACTTTTCAAATCTCGGAATCAAACTGGACACAGCTACCCCCATTTCTTGTTCCACGTTAATTTTCGCACGGTATTTACTTTTTATTACAGCGACCGCCGAAAACCCAGCTTCGCACAAATAGGATGTTGCAAATGGAATTAAGATGCGCAGAGCTTTACCACTCAGCAGCGGATATTCATGTTTTACTGATATCCAAAAATCAGTTAGTTCCGTGCAGCCAAACTTTGTCTTCAACGTATTGTCGCAAGCCAAATCAATGAGATTTTCTTGTTCTAAAGAAATAAATTCAGAAGGAGCTTCCGCTCTAAATGGATCTTGAATCCATGCAAACTGGTCGATATTATCAGCTTGAAAGTATTTTTCGAACCATTTGATAAGCTCTGATAAGTGATACGCAAAAATAGAGTTAATATTGCAAGAGATTAACTTCATTGGAGATAATAAACTCCTGCAATAAGGGACAACAATCATTGATATTATTATTATTAATTTTTCTCTTCCATACTTCAAATTTTTTTCTGATAGCTGAAATTTTCTCCGCCAATTTTAAAATGTGCGTGTTACGGCCTTTCAGGGAGAGATTCAAAGCATTTAACTTTTCAAATATCACATAAGTATGTTAGTTGAATAAAAAAATCCGTTTCTACAAAGTACTTGGCATACTGGTGTTTTTCTTCTTCAAGAAAAATGTACATTTCTTGCCGTAATTGGAACGTACGAGACAAAACATTACCACGAGAGAGCCATCGTGAGTGGCAGTAGTATAACAGAGACGTGTGTTCTGCACCCATATACTCACACATTTTTTTGAAAAATCTTGCTTTCACCGGCCTAGTTTTTATATAATTTTACCACAGTTACCACACGTTCTAAGACCAATTTAGTGAAGGACTCAGATTCTTTGATGCAAGCGCTTCTCTATGAATGATGCAATAGGTCCATACTGAATCCGGAGCTTTGTTTCGAACAAGCGGCTGTAATCCTCCATAATGGCCAGACATTGAACGACCACCATCAGTGCAAACACCAACGCACTTTGTCCACTCCAAATTGTTTTCAACCACAAATGTATTCAGGATCTCGAACAAGTCTTGCGCCTTTGTACTTGCAGTGATTTTTTTACAAAACAGAAGATCCCCCACAATGGTATTATCATCCAAGAACCTTATGTAACAAATCAAGTGTGCATCTTTACTAGAATCTGTTGCCTCATCCAACGCAAAGTCACTTTCTTTTATTTTTTCAATTATTTGATCATTAAGATCCTCCGCCATACGCTGAATTCTGCGACTGAGGGTGTTGTTAGATAAAGGCACCGATGAAAGAAGTTTTCCCGCAGATTCTGCGATCATAATGTTTAGCAAATCTACAACAGCCGGTAGAATTAATTGTTCTGCGATTGTGTGGGGCTTTTTACACTTTGCAACTTTATACGCAACCTTGTATGATTCCAGCAAAGCATTTTTAGGTATCAACAAATGCTTGGAAAAGTTACCTTTTTGTTGCTTCAAATCATTTAACTTCCTGGTAAAAAAGCTACGAGGTTTGTCAGCAAAGTTTGGATGATTGGCTTCCAAGTGGCGTTTTAACTTACTTGGAAGCATGCATTCTGGAGCCAAAAGTTTCAGGCACAATACACATTGTGGTCTCTCTTCATCATTGACGTTTGTTGATGTAAAGCCAAAATCCAAAAAGCTGTCATCATATTTACGGTATTTTCGTTTCTTCACGACTCTACCACTAGTTTGTGGCGCATCCACTTTATTTTTAGAACCACCTTGTTTATTTAAATTCAAAAACTTTTCCATTTTTACAGCAACTTTTGTACACAAGTAGGTGAAACAACCCTGTTTATATTCACACTGATAAACGAAACGATGCGAACAGTATGAAACTACAAATTCAACTAACTAAAATTTAGATAAGTAAAAATTTATAATCATGAATTTGTTGCTTGTGTGAGTCCATTTCAAATAGGTAAAGAAATAATAAATCAGACTTACTCACAATCAATTGATTGTGAGTAAGTCTGATTTATTATTTCTTTACCTATTTAAAAATTTATAGTTTTAAAATGTGCACGTGCAAAGAGACGATTGAATTTGCCGACCGGCAGTGATTTATGGCCTGTCGGTCCGAAGTCAATGTACCGGGTGGTCCATTAAGCCGATCTCTCGGCTATATATCAGAAACTATTCATGTTATAACTTTAGGAAAAAAAATTCCTTAGTAAAAGTGGCCAAGAGAAATCGCTGGAAATAACTTTCAAGATTCTGGATTAACCGCTAGGGGGCGTAACCTGCGAAGAAAATTTTAAAAACCAGTTTTTTGGGAAATATGTCCAATTATACCAAGTGTTAAATAAGTAAACTAGAAAGGGGCATAAATTCTGCACAAAGTTGTTCAAGTACTTTTTTTTATTTTTTTAAATAAAGGGTGGGGGAGAATGGGAAAGTATTTGTGGATAAATACCTATAACTTTGGTTTGGTCCAACCGATTTTAATGAAATTAGTGTCATTAGAAAGAGTGTAGATAAATTAATTCACATCTACTATAAAATACTTAAATTTAGTTTTCATAGTCGTAGGTAGAGGGGACTTTCAAATAAAAACATATAAAATTTATTTTTCTTCAAAATTTTTAATCGAAACACCTATTTATTGTAAATTATAATGGAACTGGAATAAATTTGTAATAAGTGGAGTAAACCGCATGTTAATAGCTTTTGTTGAACTCGAGATATGAATAAAAACTCATAAACATAAGTAAGTATAGTATTGACACACCCTGTATTATAAATTACATTAAAAAATAAGTCAGTAGGTATTTTCAAATTTTTTATAGCAGAAGAATCTTAATGTTGATACCTATTTTGTAAAAAAGAGTATTTTCGAAACTAAGTAGGCTACGACAATGAATTTGACGGGGAGTTCATATTGTTTATTTATTGACAGAAGTCAAAACATTGTTAAGAAGTGCTATATTATAATTCGAATTAAAGATTGCACTTTTTTCAATAGATATTAATATTGGTAATATTAGTAATTAATTATCAGTACAAATAATTCGTGATGAGTATATCAAATTGTATGATATGATTGGAGTTTATTTCGAATGTCACCAAAATGCCGCTATTGCCTCACGTATATATTTGTAAGATATCGTGACAGAACACATTATGGCAAAGAAGTATTTGAAAGAAAGGCGAATAGATTAAGAGCAGCTGGTAGTTTTTCTCGTCCTTGTTTTAAACGACGTAGTAGAGTTATGACCGAAGATAATTCAATCAATGTTCTTGCTTTAATTCATCAGGATCCACATATAGTAGTCCGAAATCTCTACTTCTTTGCCACAATATCTCCTGCCAGGATATCTTACAGAATATATACGTGAGGCAATAGCGCCATTTTGGTGATATTCGAAATAAACTCCAATCATATCATACAATTTGATATACTCATCACGAATTATTAGTACTGATAATTAATTACTAATATTACCAATATTAATATCTATTGAAAAAAATGCAATTTCCAATTCAAATTATAATACATATAACATTTCTTAACAATATTTTGACTGCTGTCAATAAATAAACAATATGAACTCCCTGTTAAATTCATTGTCGTAGCCTATTTAGTTTCGAAAAAACAATTTTTAATCATATGAAATAACAATGGTCAAAATAGGTATCAAAATTAAGAGTTTTTTGCTATAAAAATTTTGAAAGTACCTACTGACTTATTTTTTAATTTATTTTATAATACAGGGTGTGTCAATACTATACTTACGTTTATGCGTTTTTATTCATATCTCGAGTTCGATAAAAGCTATTAACATGCGGTTTGCGTCATTTTGTTACGAATTTAATCCAGTTCTATTATAATTTACAATAAATAGGTGTTTCTATTAAAAATTTTAAAGAAAAACAAAGTTTAATTTTTTCTATTCGAAAGTACCCTCTACCTACAACAAATAAAACTAAATGCAATCATTTTATAGTAGATTTAAATTGATTCATCCATACTCTTTCTAATGACACTAATTTTGTTAAAATCGGTCAATCCAAACCAAAGTTATAGGTATTTATTTACAAATACTTTCCCACTCTCCCCCACCCTTTATTTGAAAAAAGAAAAAAAAAGTACTTGAACAACTTTGTGCAGAATATATGCCACTTTCTAGTTTACTTATTAAACACATGGTATAATTGGACATATTTCCCAAAAAACTGGTTTTCAAAATTTTCTTCGCAGGTTACGCCCCCTAGCGGTTAATCCAGAATTTTGAAAGTTATTTCCAGCGATTTCTCTTGGCCACTTTTACTAAGGATTTTTTCTCCTAAAGTTACAACATGAATAGTTTCTGATATATAGCCGAGAGATCGGCTTATTGGATCACCCGGTACAGTAGTGACAGAATTGTTTCGTGGAATTTAAAATATCGAGGATATATTGTCGGCATCAAATAAAATTACTAATAACTAAACTCGTTTATCATGGGAAACATTTTTATATAGGTATATTTTAAAATTTAAAAAGTTGTCATAACAATTACTTTAGTTTAATGTTTATTTAATACTTGAAGGTAAATATGTGATTATGTCTAATATTGGAAGAAAACTTTCGCGGCGCCCCTGTAGTCGAACCACGGCGCCCCGGGGCGCCGCGGCGCACAGTTTGGGAAGCACTGAGTTAACCCATAAAATATTTGGTGCATCGGTTTGGTCGGTAAGTACTGTTACCTTAAAAATATTTAAAATATTTAATGTTTTTTATCACAGTTGGTTTTAATTGATTAAGTAGAACATTTTTTAATACTTGATTTAACTACAAACCTTTTTGAGATGTTTATTTTATGTGTCCACAATTACCCCAAAATAATATGTACAAGAGGTAAATAAAGACAGAATTTTGGGGCAATTGCGGACGCGTCCCCCCAATTACCCCTAATTACTATTATACAGAGACTTGAATTCTAGTTAATACTTATTTTTTCGTTACAGGTTAAAATAATTTGCAATATATTGAAAAATGTTTGAAATATTGAAATATGTAAGAAAATATATTAAAAAAGACCAGAGAAAACCTTCACGGGAGAAAACGTAAAAACTGCCGTAAACGAGGTCAAAAACCACAACCGTTCTTATCGCTCTGAGCTGCAGAATATTATGGAGTTCCAAGAAGCGTTATATTTAACCGAATAAGTGGAAGAAAAGCGGCGCTGGTCGGCATAATGCTCTTTCAAAAGAAGTTGAAAGTCAACTAGAACAGCTTTAGCGAGAGCCGACTTTGGTTATCCCATGGATAAAGAAGAATTATTATCTTTCGTTTAAAGTTATTGTCAAGATTCAAACATTTCCACTCATTTCGAGCAAAATAAACTCATTGCATTGACCCCTTCAGTTATATTATTTTTATGATAGGTACATATAAAAGCAATTTTTATTAAATCATGACTTTAATAGCCTGTCTCAACATAAGCGAAACAACTTAAATGAAGCGATAGTATTAAAAAAATAATAATAATATTTACGTTTAATTTGTGGAAAGGTTTTTAGTAAGTACTCTCGTTTTTCTTGTGTCCCTACTGTAACGAAGATATTACAGTCATAGTGTAACGCCAATCTTATAGCTGCTTGGCCAACACCACCTGTTCCAGAGTGAATTAGAATGCTAGAACCTCTTTTGATGTTTACTCTCTAAAACAAAAAATCTGTTTTATATTAAAATGTAATTTTCATATAACTTTTCTTGTAAAGAAATGCTTCTAATCCTCTGAAACTAATTGCCAATTAAGACTACCAAAAACAAAATGTTACACAACTTCTTCCAATCTTAAAGAAACAAGAAGGTAAAAAAGTCGTTATTGGTGATAATCTTAACTCACATGTCAACTAAAAGTCACAGAAAAAGTTAGATTATTTTGTCCAATAATAGCAATGCATTAGTTCCATCTCACACTTCTAATTAATATGTATATTAACTTCTCAATTTTTCAGAAAATTAAGGTTTCTGGGGGGGGGGGGGGGACAACCCCTATCGTCCCCGCCGTTGAGACCGCCACTGTCCCAAGGATCTACTTGGGAAGAACATTGAAGAAACTACAAATAACAAACTAGAAGAAACTCTGAAAGTGAACATAAAAGTGAACCCTCCCCCAAAATATTGAAGTCAGAAGTTATAAGGGCAATCAAACAGAGAACATGGGGAAAAGCACCAGACCCAGACGACATATACATAGAGGTTCTAACAATTTTGAGTGAAGACAATATGCCTTGGTAGATCTTTTTAATGACATTTATGGGTCCGGTCAAATACCACAGGTTTGGCTTCAATCAACCTTTATACCAATCCCAAAAAAGCCAAACGCTAATAGTTGCGACCAATTCCAAATGACCATCTTATTTAGCCAGGTCCTAAAACTCTTCTTAAAGATAATCCACCCAAGAATATACACCAGATGTGAAAGAGACATTAGCCCCACACAGTTCGGTTTCAGACAAGGAATTGCCATAAGAGAAGCACTTTATACCTTAACTGTTCTACTTCAAAAATGCAGAGATCAGCAAAAATATGTCTTCCTATGCTTTATAGATTACCAGAAAGCGTTCGATTGTGTTAATCATTCAGAATTAGTAAGATTGCTCCAGGAACGCTTGATAGATAAGAATGACCTTAAAATCATAAAGAACCTTTATATAAATCGAGTGGCATCTGTGAGAGTAGGACTGGAATCTACGTCATATTTCTCAATCGAAAAAAATGTACGACAGGGTTGTGTTCTGTCACTTCTTCTTTTTAATCCTTAGTCTGAAACGATTTTCAAAAGAGCCTTAAGCAACACTGAAGATGGAATCAAAATCAACGGACAGATTATTAGTAATCTTCACTATGCTGATGATACAGTCATAAGAGCTGATAGCCAAGAAGCGATACAAAGAGTAATAGATAGAATAAACACTGAAGGAGAACGACTGGGCTTAAAGATTAATATAGACAAGACGAAGGTAATGGTGGTTAGTAGAACACGAAATATGCAATTAAATATAAGAGTGAACAATAAGAACATCCAAAAGGTCCTCAAGTTCAGATATCTCGGTAAGTAGATAACTGAATATCTAAATCCAGACATAGAGATACGTAGCAGGATTGAGCAAGCCAGAACAACATTTACTAATATGAGAACCCTGCTAAGCAACATCAGCCTTAACTTAACGCTTCGATATCGCTTTGTAAAATGTTACATTTACTCCATACTGCTATATGGTGTAGAAACCTGGACCATAAAGGCCAATGTGATGAACCGATTGAAGGCCTTTGAAATATGGGTATTTAGAAGACTACTTAAAATTTTCTGGACAGATTACACAACAAATATCGAAGTATTAAATTAAATGAGTAGAGAACGAGAATTGCTACCAATAATAAAAAGAAAGAAAACTGCTTATTTGGGTCATATATTTCGAAATTCCAAGAACCACTTCTTAAAGCTTTTTATGGAAGGAAAAATAGAAAGAAAACGGCACATCGGAAGAAAGAAATACTCATGGCTTAAAAACATAAGGGATTGGACAAACCTCGATGCCCATGTACTCTTTAGAGCCACACAAGATCGAGAGGAGTATGCCAGAATTGTCGCCAACATCCACTATTTGGATAGGATACCATAAGAAGAAGATGCTTGCGCGCCTTGATGCGCGCATCCAACTAATATATCTTATGCAGTAATGGTGTTAAATTGGTTGCTGCAATCAGACTATCTCAAACATCTGAGAGCAAAAGTCACGTTAGTTTGTTTTTAAGTGTTTTTGTTAATTGTAAAACAGAAATATACTAGTACTATTTGCATTTAGTGCTTTAAAAGTTCTTATCATTTTGTGATAAAAGGTAAATCACTCCTTTAATTTTGCCTGATTAAGAATTAAACATCCTATCCTAGAATTTCTAGACTAATATTCTTACTTAAATATATCAAATAAATATACAGAAAAATCATAAGAATGATACAGTAGTACTCATTTTTACATATCATATTCTATGTGGAAATCTATATATAACAATAATAAATACTCAATATTTGATTCAAGATATTGACATAAGAGAAATTGTAATCTAACTTAAAGTGCACTCATTTGACATACGACATATTGCTAATTTTTTTGTTGCAAGAAATAGAACTAGACGCATGGTACAACTGTGTATCCAAGCAGCTGAAATAAAAAGATCCGACACTCCTGATCTTAATTTCCGGTTTCAGCTGTCAGATATTAGAATTACCAACTAATTATTAACTTCTTAATAATTCAGTCCATTTCTTGAATTTATCAATTAATTTACCATCAACAATTTATCTACTTATTGCTCTAGTTCCATAATAACATATCAGAACTTCCAACCATTAATTAATAGAGTACCGGCATGTAAGTAATATTTTATTTATTTACTTATTTATTACAATTTAATAGACTATTTTATACCAATTTGTGGGTCTTACCTTGTCTGCTTAAACAGTTTATTCATTTTGAAAAACCACAGACATGTAATATTGGCATAATTACTGTAATTTATTATAATTACAGTAAGTAATATTTTATTTATTTACTTATTTATTACAATTCAATAGACTATTTTATACCAATTTGTGGGTCTTGCCTTGTCTGCTTAAACAGTTTATTCATTTTGAAAAACTACAGACATGTAATATTGGCATAATTAGGTACTGTAATTTATGTAATTTATATCATTTATCTTTGTTTATCTTTATAAGACAACACCCTATTGGGTTTTATTATTTCAGGATTTAATTAACTTTGTATCGAGACCTGAAGATGCTTTGCATATTGTACAAAGCGAAACCGGTCGTCTAAGTAGTTAAAATAAACTGATTGTGAGTAAGTCTTATTTATTATTTCTTTTACATATTTTTATTTGAGATAGTTTACTTATATAACACAGATGACCACAACTTAGTAGTAGAAAAATGCTAATATTTATTGAGATTTGATTTAAAAGGTTTTAACGAATGGACCAAAGTAACCCGGATTTACGGTATACATATGTATGTTAAGGTTGAAAGTTTGAACTCAAATGTCTGCTTTTGGTAACTGTTTCAATATAGTCCCCACGAAAAGCAAGGGTAGTTAAAAAACATATTAGCCACACATGCGCATTCACGTTTCTAGACACATTTAGCGTAAACACAGTTATAGCTTCCACAACAAAAGAGCTTTACGGCTTCGTTCAAGAAACAACCTTGTAGACACAGCAAGCATTCAAATTAAAAGAAACTTCAAGAAAACCGACCATTATCTCTCATACAAATAAATATACTTACGTCTATCAATCCATATATAATAGTAGTATATACAGTTGGAAGAGATGCTGCCTCTTTTAAAGAAATATTATCAGGTACATCAAATAGTAAATAATCATCACCCAACATCAAGGTAGACATAGCGCCGTGTGTAACCAATCCCATAACTCTTTTACCTCTGTAACAAAATATATAGCGTGAGAAAAAATTTATGAGAAATATAGTTATATTGTAGCATTTGCAAATTCCTTGAAATATATATTGAAATTTATTAAAATCTCCTCGTATTTGCTAAAGTATCGAAGAATATTTTTAGTGTATTTCAGTTCCTATCGTACGTATTAAAACATCGAATTCTTTTAATTCATTTTAGAGTCCCCAAGGTCGAAAAAGGTGTTTTTGTTATACCAAGTTAAGCGAATGAATTTAAAAGAGAAATGCTCACTCTCGCTGAGGCGTTGTCAGCGTTGACAGCTTCTTCTAGCGTTTGTCCAAAATTATACGTCGAATTTGTATTGTTTTCTCATTCTTCTCCCTTTTCATGGAAATCTAGTGAAGTAAAGTAGTAGTTTGAAGGTTCAGTTAAAGTTTTAAGTGAGGTTTTGAAAATTTGTGTTCCAGTGCCACTTCAACCTCATTTTTGTTTGTCCCTGCTCGTTGTTCCAGACTATAGATGTAGTCTATTTGTTCGTGTGGCAGATTCCAGGGAAGTCTGGTTTCCATCCCCAGCATATTTGTGTAAAACCATAGTGCAATCCAGGTAATTTTTGTGTTTAAATTTTAAAGGAATAGTAAAAATAAACATTTTGATTAATAATTGCTTTCATCATTTAAAAAGATATTTTTTTATTTGTAATATTGTATTTTGTTTATTTTTCTTAACTAACTCTCTAACCCATTTTTTGAGTTTCATTTAAAATATATATTTTTTATTTTTAATAATTATTTCAATAGTTACAACTAGTTGTAATCATTATAATTTGGAACCTCGAAGCGGCATCCATTTTAAATTGCTAGAGGTGTTTTCTGTTTGTTTTGTTTGCCCATTTATCCAGGAGATTTATGTAAGTACCCTCTTTTTATATATATGATATAAAAATAGAAAAAACACACAGTTTAAGAGTGGGGTGACTAAGAGGTATTTTGGAGTGGGATTCACGGTGTCGGAGAAAGTAAACAAAGCAGTTGTAAATTTTCAACCAATATCAGACAGAATAATATGTTACTTGAGAGTAAGAGGAAAATACAGAAAGATAAGTATCATTAATGTAAATGCGCCCACTGAATATAAAGACTTAGAAACCAAAAAATAGTTCTGCGAAAAGCTAAGCACCCTAATAGGGAATATACAGAAATTCTATATAAAGATAATCATTGGGGACACGAATGCGAAATTCGGAAAAGAGGAAATATATAGAAGAAGAACAGGGGGACAAAGTTAACATAAGGAATCAAATAAAAACCGGGGTTACCAGGGAGGTTTAAGATAACATAATAATAGGTACCAACAAATCATAGCGACTTTATATAAACTTAATTTGCTATTGTCTGTATACCTTTTACTACTTATCCTAATTTTATTGAACCAGCCCTATATAATACAGTCCACATACACGGAAATTATACTAATAATTTCCCACATATGTACACCCTTTTTTGTACTATGGTAACTAATCAATATTGTTTCTGTTTTAGAAAAAAATGACGAAAAAATATGATCTTAATAAACCCAAAGATGCAGAGGGATTGTTAAAAATATATGAGAGTTTAGAAGATGACGATACTTTGGCTAAGGAAATTGACCAGTGTGATGAAGTTCAACTGACGTTCAAAGTACACTGTCTCAAAGCATGGATATTACAGCTGTTTCTCGGAAAAATACAGCAATCGAGAAAACAGCGATGTCAAATATAACTGTGGCTAAGACTCACCAATCAGGTAAGAAAAGAAAAAAGGAGGTTGCAGAAATTTCACAAACTTCTGAAAACAGAAAAAAATCTATGAAAAGAATCGATCGTAAGTGGAAAGAAAAATAACTAGAGAAAGGAGCCATAAATGATGTTTTCAAAAACAATATAGAACTCCATATACATGAATGGAGACAACAAAATTTGAAGCCAATCGATGTGTTTAAATTATTTTTTGATAAAAAATTTATGGACTATCTTTGCAAAGAAACGGTAAAGTATGCTTCACAAAAATCCTGCCCTTTATCTTTGTCCGTTGATGATTTATATAAATACTTCGGCATCCTTATTCTCTCTGGACACCATCCACTGCCTTCTAGAAGAATCTATTGGGAATGTCGTGGGAGTCGAAACAGATTTGAACAGATTCATAGATTTTTACACTTTACCGATAATACGTTGTACTAACAAACCAAACAAGCATTCAAAGTTTAACCCCTAGTTGACCATCTAAATGAACGTTTTCATCATTACCTCCAGCCAGTGAACAGAAGTTTCTCAGTGGACGAACGGATGGAGCCGTATTATGGGCATCATTCAATGAAGCAGTTTATCCGAAGAAAACCCATCCGTTACGGAGAAAAATTCTGGTGTGTTGCGACCAGTAAAGGTTACCTTGCAAAATTTCTTCCCTATACTGGAAGTGGAGATAAATTACAGGGCAACTCATTAGGAAGGTCCGTAACCGAAAAGCTGTGTATGGGGTTTTTACCACAAGAATCTGTTATCTATATTGATATTTTTTTACATCTTTACCTTTATTGACACGGTTGAGAGATGAAAAGGTACACTGTATCGGCACAATTAGAAAAGACAGAATTGAAAAAGTCCCACTCAAAGAAGTAAAAAAAGAAATTCGTGGAACTTCCCATGCTCTATATAGCGAAGAACATCAGCTCACTCTTGTTCGCTGGAATGACAATAATGAAGTTACTATGGCAACTAATATTTCAACTTCAGAAATATTTACTATAGGAAACTGTCGGTCCCTCAACCAAACGTTGTGCAAATGTATAACACGGGAATGGGTGGTGTAGACTTATTCGATAAGCTAAGAGCTTTATATAGGATTCGAATTCGATCCAAAAATGGTATTGGGCGATATTTAGATTTTGCTTGAATGGGGCAATAGTCAACATGTGGCTTCTTTACCGCAACAGTGAGGCAATTTCTTTATTAGAATTTTACAGTTGAATTGTGGAGTCCCTGCTGACAGCTCCAGATATTCCAACACCGCATGGAGTACGTCCAAAATCTTCAAAACATGTTGCTGATGAAATTCGTTTGGATAATGTCGGTCATTTGGTGGACAAAATTGAAAAACAACGAAGTTGCGGCAAATGTGGCAAGTGTACCAAATATCGATGCATTAAATGTAATGTAGGACTTCATCCCGAGAAATGTTTTGTCAAATATCACCCGTTGTAAATATTTTAAAATAAAACATATCTTATGAAATATTGTGTCTCTCATTGCCCAGCGTATGATATATCATACTAAAAAAAAAGACAGTTACAAAGAAAAAAAAAACGTAAATTTTGCACAATTCTATTAAAAACAACCTCTCTTTATTTCATTCTGAAGTTTTGATTCAATTTTGATAAAAATTTAATTTTGGGCATAAATGGGTTAATTTGGAAATCAGACTATTCTGTATCATTCGATGTTATACAGTAAAACCTCTGTTAACCGAAATAATTGGGGGGACGACGTTTCGGATAACAAGAATTTCGGTTAAAAATAACGTTGTTTTTTATAGTATTCTTGGTTAAAGTATAGATATTAAAAAATACTATGAGGTGATTTCGTAATATTTTCTTATAAGTAAATACAGAATAAAGTAATAAAATTAAGAAAAATGAACAAGTTTAACAAGTTTTTTAAGGAAATCTTTTATTTTCTTTTACGCTATCGTTTGACAACTATGTTTTGCAGCTATATACAGATTGAACGAATTTAAAACGGATTATACAATTTAATATATGTCTGTTTGAACTGCATTTGAAATAGTGGACCAATATAAAACTTGGACAAAAATAAATCCATAACTGGGTATAGACATTGTATAAAATATCGGTCAACTATCTGTCTCGCAACAATATTACAATGTTGTTTGCGTAAAGGAAGCGATAATAGTTCAGGAAATGAAGCTCGAAAAAATTAAAACTTCGCAATTTTTTCGTCCTGCATGCATTGAGTTGAAATTTTAACCGAAGGTAGGTGATAGTCCAAGGATCAAAATCTATATCGAACCAAAGTACGCTGAAGGGTTTTAGGGGTGAAAACTACCCTAATTGTCAAAAATTATAAAATAACATATTAAACCTGAATATGGCTAAGATTTGGTTTGAATTAGTTAAATAATGATTATTTTATACTTTTGAATAGAGTTCCATCATATTTCAACCCTTAAAACGCAACCCTTGTTAGAGATTAATGTAAAAAAATTACTAATTCTAAAAAGTAATTTCGCTTTGGATCGATTTGGATAAAAATTTAGATTTAAGCTCAATTCACCCACTGCTTTATAGTTTATGTCATGTCGACGAACCCCGATTGTTCTTAGGGGTGAAAACTACCCGTAGTTGTCAAAAATTATAAAATACCATAGTAAACCTGAATATGGGTAAAATTTGGTTTGAATTGATTAAATAATGATAGTTTCGTGCTTTTGAATAAAGTTCCATCATATTTCAACCCTTAAAAAGCGACCCTTGTTAGAGATTAATGTAAAAAAAAGTAGTAATGCGAAGAAAATGATTTCGCCTTGGAACGATTTGGATAAAAATTTGGAATTAAGCTCAACTCACCCTCTGCTTTATAGTTTATGTCATGCCGACGAACCCTGATTGTTTTTAGGGGTGAAAAATACCCCTAATTTTAAAAAACTGTAAAATAACATTACAAATCTTAAGATGAGTGAAATTTGGTTTGGATTAGTTAAATAGTGATTTTTTTATACTTTAAAATATATATACTTTTCAACTTTTGAATATCACCCTTTATAACAGTGTAGTTTTTATAAACTAATTTAATAGATATAAATTGAAAAAAGTAGAATTAAATACAAAACAAATTATCAACATAAAAAGGCACCATATATTCTTAAACATTTACATAAATAGTTGAAAATATTTACATTTATAACAACAACAAAAGTTCATCGGGTGAACAGGTTGTTTGTTCATGCGTACGGGTAATAACAAACCATCTTTGGAATACCATCCCCAATCTGTTGCTCTGATATTTTCATTGCCAAGCCATAGACATATGAGCAGATGTTTTATTCTGTTGTATGGGATTTCAAAATAAGAACGCTTAAAATTTCAAATGTATAACGCCCCACTACCTAATATACCGGTTTTGTAGATTATTATGCTCCGAAATGTACTGTATTATACTAATGGAATTTTCCGGAAAAAAAATTAATTGCTTTTTTTAACGTATTTCCTTCATTTTTAACGATAGAGTGTTTCTTCAAAAACGGTTTTGTAGAGGTTTTTAAGAGCTACAAGGATCTAATTAAATCTTTTTGGAACCCTTGGTTTTTAAATGGGGTGAGTTTAAAGGGCTCGAAAAAGATGGTGCTTGATCGTAAATCGATGCTTTAAACGACTATATCTCGCCAACTATTCATTGTACAACAAATCTAAAAGAAAAATTTTAGTCAATAAAAAAGCTACAATTTAGTACATTTTTTTTTCATATATTCAGTATTTTCGGGGATATTTAAAGAACAGAAGGGTAAAAAATATGAAATTGTAAATCGTTTCTCGCTTTATGCTGTACTTTTTCTAAAACTAAGCATTTTAAATGGGTTAAACTTCTTGAACGTATTAACAATACTTGTACAAAGAGAATTGCAGAAGGGTGAAGATCGATTTTAATTATGGGGGTGGTTAGGAGGTTGTTTTCATCGATTTTTTCGTAAAAACATGAGGTATTGACCTTATTTTTATCATAACTCACTCAATTTTTGAGCTAGAGTCTTTTTTTTATGATAGGTCTATTTATGCTCTTTAAAAAAAGGTTCTGTGAGTTTTCTTTCAAAAATGCATCATTTTCCCGATATTTGACTTTGAATCTTTCAAATTTGGCATTTAAAGAAAACCGCTGAACATTGATAGGTCGTATTTCGGTTCCTCTTATATCGCAAAAACATTTTAAAAATGAATGGTATTTGTCTTTTTAAAAGCTACAAATTTGTTCTCTACAATTTTTTTGATAAAATGCACCATTTTCGAGTTATTCGCGAAAAATCGATTAAAAACGTCGATTTTTTCGTTTAAAAGTTGTTACTTTCAATCGCGAATAACTTGAAAAATATCAGTTTTACAAAAAAAAATGTATATAACATTTTTTGTTTAGAATCACTTTTTTAATCGAAACCTGTAGTTAAAACGTAAAAAAAAATTCACCCCCGAGATGGGGTGGCAACCACCCCCAAGGCTTTGGCGCACTTTGGTTCGATATATATTTTGATCCTTGGCTATTATCTAGCTTCTGTTAAAATTTCAAGTCAATCCACGCAGGACGAAAAAATTGCGAGGTAAAATGCTTCATTTTCTGGACTATAAGTGGTTTGACAGCATAATAAAATCGTAGATTTATGTGTAGCTTTCAATTTTTATAATTTCAGAATCCAGCAGCCCGCTGAAGTATTGGATTTTTATAATATAAATATATGACAACCTTTTGTTAGTCAACCACCTACAGCAGAATTGAGCCGAAATACATAATATTTCGTATGTTCCGAATTTATTTCGTTCAATCTGTATATCTCCATCGTTCATTTGCCTCATTTCATCGTTCGACGAAACGTAAAGTAATCTGAAAAGGACAAAACTTTATACAATGGCAACAAAAATTAAGAACCTAGTCGTGTCCCTAACTAATTAGGCCTACTGTATAAAATTCTTATCCTTAAGGTATTGAAAATCTCTTCGGCGGTCTTATGCTGCCTGTTGTCTGTTGGGTCGACATCTTCGTCGTCTGCTTTTTCTCAATTAGTTAGTCTCATTAGGAAGTGAAATTAATGGAATTTACATTTTGCGATAAAAATTTACTTTTAATTGACGAAATTATTGTCAGCTGTTTCGGTTAAACGATGTTTTGGTTAAAAAGGTTTCGGTTTAGGGAGGTTTTACTGTATACATATTTTCAATATTATTATAACCAAGTCTGTGATTTGGGCATTAAAAAAATGCAATTTAAAAAGAATCCAGGCTCTCGAACTCTGATTATACCGCAGCGTATTCAAAATATCACGGACTGATAGAATTACAAATAAAGAAGTACTGGAGAGCGTTGGTAAAGAAACAGAACCAATCACCAATATGCAAACAAGAAAACTGGATTACCTAGGCCACATAAAGACAAGACCAAAATGATAAATTTTAAAAATTATAATACAGGGAAAGATTTGATGGAGATTTGTTGGCTGGAGGCAGAATTCTTGGTTGAAGGATCTACGTGATTGGTATCAATACAGATCGATTGATTTGTTTAGAGCAGCAAGTTTAAAAATAAAGATAGCCATTATGCTAACTTCTGTAGGGAGACGACACTCTAAGAAGAATATAATTTATTAAACTAGAGCTTACTTACTTTGCAGTGTATCCTGAAAACTCAATTCCTTGAACACATTCCTGTTCAATCCTATCTTGAGTTATTACATCGGCGTTTATTTTTCCCGTAGCCGTCATTACATCTCTAAAGTTCAGAGAAGCATAGTGAATGTACACCAATTGCTTTTCAGAAGGTACAACCATGTCGTATTTGTAACTGCCTTCAATCCATCTTAAACTGGATAAATCTCCTCGAACGGTGATATTTGCATAGCAGTGTTCTGATTCAATAGTGTCTAGGTTTTTTAAGAGTAAATGTCTGTAAGTACCCCACTTGTTATCTTTAAAAATATTGACTGCCATATTTTTATCTAATTGAGTTTTATAAAATTGATCATCCTTGTCAAAATGCTTATCGATGTCAAACATAAAGAGGCATCTTATATAACTACTATCAGCTTCCTGCTTTAAGCAATTAAATAATCCCATAATTCCACTCAAAGGTTTATTTTGAGCATAGATTAGTACATTATCACTCTTTTTTGATTTAATAATTTCCTTTAATTCCTCAATCCACGATAAATCGTCTGATTTTTCTACGTCAAGGGTAATGAGTTCTTTGTTTTTGAAATTTTTCTTAAGAAGAACCAACGTTTCCAAAGGAGTTTTGTGCACGGTAAATACTGTAAAATCTTCTACTTCAGTAATGGAACTATCAAAGTTTAAGTCTTCTCGAGATATAAGAAAACCATGATCCTTTAAGCACTTGGTCGCACTTGTTAAAACCTAAAATAAATTAAACACTGCAAATATATACATTACAATAAACTACTGTGTAAACGATTAGTGAATAATATGTTTACTCCATGCTGTAAGGATACAAACATATGATTTTGGGCATTAATTGGTGAATTAATTTAAAACTAGAACAGCGGTATGAAGAGCAATACCTGGAGTAACCTCCAAGTGCTTTCTGGAGTAATCTCCAACTTGCACCAATCGCCACCTGTTCCATTGACATCTGTATCCTGATTTCGAGGCCAATGGACATTTTAAAGTGAGTGTCATATATTATCTTGACAATCTGTGTTTCTTTACGGTTAATCTATTTTATTTTAGGAACTTTTTTGAGAGAATATAAATTAATTATATACATATATATATATATATATATATATAATATATATATATATATATATATATAATATATTGTTATGATATGTAAAATCGATAAAAATATTTGAAAATTCAAAAACATTAAAATAATTCAGATAAGTAGGATAATAACCAACAAACATTTCGAAGAAGCAAAGTATTTAAATTTTTGGATTACCTGTATTAAACAAAATGTAAGCTATGCATAAATTATTTCCTTTGTTATACTATACTTGAGTGACCCGCATAATTTTAAGTGAAATCCCAAAGACAATTGAACCGGGTTTTTCCAAATACATTAAGGCAATGATTAAAGACAATAGAAGAGATTTGGAAAGAGGTTTTTGTTAGTTTTTAAAAATTATAGAAAAATATTATTTGTAAATAAGTTTTAGGAAATTTTATAATTATAGGTAAAAATTTGTTTGTTATCGGAATGAAAGAATGGGGAATTGTGACGAGTTTTGATTGGCGGAGATTAAAAAAGGTGGGATAGGTATGTAGGAATGAAAGTTTAGCTAGAATTTTGAGGGAGAAAAGATAGTCAGTTGGTTTCCAAGGGTGCAAGGCGAACGGCCGTTGTTCTCGAGTAGTTTCCCAGAGGTAGGAAGCAGTAGCAGTGAAAGTTTGTGAGTTTTCGTGTAGTTAGTGTATCTGACAGAAGCTGATCCAGTAAAATATTGTAAGTCATATTTTTCTACTTATATTCCAAGAGTCACTGTTCAGGCCAACGAGAGATTCAGTTTATCGTAAAGAAAAGATATTCCAAGAGTCATTTTTCACTCAGGCCAACGAGAGATTCAGTTTATTGAGAGAAGAAGAAGCTAGCATAATTTGAACGATTCGTGCATTTGAAGGAGATCATTAAGGACGAGATACTTGCAATAATTTATTGTAAGATTGCTGATTACTTAGGGAGCGGGCACGAGTAAATAGTATAGTCTACAAATAACAAGGATTTGGACCACTCATCATCAGAGAGAGATAGTTTTGTTTTCTGCAGTTTTTCTTTCATTGATAACACAATTTTTACACTTAATTTAGAAAGGATATAAATATTTTGATTAGGAGATTTAGAGTAATATTTGGATTTTGAGATTTCAACTAATATTGTTTGTACCATTAATTTTGATTGTTCACGTACGTAGAACAAAATTTTGAGAATTATTATATGAGATTTTGTTTATTGAAAACTTTTTAGTGTGAATTATTTCATTATTTTTATTTCAATATATAGTGTTAGATCATATGTTTTTTTATTCTTCCGGTATTCTTTGGACCTTACCTGTCACATGTAATAGCATAGATATTGAAGCACGAATTTAACCCTGAGATAAAAGAATTAAAAATTGTGATAGAGTCATAATCATATCATTTAAATAATTTAATTAATAAAAAAATTAATTAGCTAATTATTGCTTGGCGCACCAAGACTTTAAATATCACAATAATATATATAGAAAAGAAATTTAATCTTTGCAGATAAGTTAAATATAAAACTCTTAAATATTGGGGAAATCTGCAAGAAAAACTCTAATGAGTATCACTTGTTTCGCCGAACGTTTTCGCCAAAGAGAATTAATTTGGCTTCTTCAGGGCTGAAAGAGAATAAATTATAATTAGCAAGGTTAATTATACCCTTTCCCGCTTTCAATGAAGCTTCCGAATTGAGCAACGTGACTTCATAGAGTATTTGTGAACGATTATCAGCTTTTTACCACCTACTCGTCTTGGATTTTTCGTTACAACATGTCCCTCACAATTTGTATGTATTTTATTGACTGTCAGTATTTACACGCCATGGTCAACACAAGAAACGCAAAGAATACACACGGTGTCAAAATTAGATAGTTAACCTTGTCTTTTAAACCTTTTGAAAATTTGGAAAAGATAACAAGAGTATTCTAATTTTAAAATTATTATAAGAAATCTTACATCTTTTCTTTCAATCAGCTTGGATCCAATAACTAAATGGCATTCAGTTTCAGTCTCCAGGTCTGTATCTTCTACTTCAATGGTTTCTGGAATATATTCAGGTCGACTTTTCGCTAATATTTTAACAATTGCTTGTAGGAGTGGTTGGTCTCCTAAAGCTGTTTCTACTAGAGGAAGTAAAGTACATTCTTGTGTAACAAACTCGTCTATGAGTTCGATACATTTGTACTTTCTTGCTGATAAGTTTTCGTAGACAATTTGAAGATTAACTCTCATGGATTCTTCTAGTCCCAATTCTGTTATGTTTGGAACAAATATATGAGATTCCAAAACTGGTATTCCCACATCTTTCTTTCTGGCAATTGAACTTGCTATAAGACCTTGAACTACTATACTTCCGCATCTAAAACAAATATAAGAATTAGTCAAAACGGTGTTTTACTAGACAAAATGTTAAAAAAGTCATTAAAACTGAAAATAAAATATAATCTCGACCAACTTTTTTGTTACTAATACTTTATTAGTGTTCCTTCCTCAGGTATCTGAAATCTTTTTAAGTTATTATAGGATAGGCCTATACAGTCAACCGCTAAATTATGGAATATTATCGTTATTTCGAAAACCGTCGAGTTTTGAGGGATGACCGGTATAGGTGTAGTGACGATATTACATTAAAAAAAATTTTTTAAGGGTACAAAAACAGGTATTTTTAATTTAAATTCAACTAAATTACAACTAATGATTTAATTAATAATGTACTTTAAAGTAACCAAATTATGCATAATAATTAATTTATGAAGTATTTTTATTTGGTACTGCTTCAAAAAATTGTTCAACAGAAGATGCATATAAATACCAATTGGCCTTTTGTATGTTCCACTTGCTTGCAGGATTAATCTTTTCAATTTTATTCTTGCAATTCATTTCCATATTGATGATAAAATGGTTTGAGCCTAAAGTATCTGGATAGATGGACCAGATTATTTTACTAGTTAGTTCAGGCGAGGCGAAAGTTACGTCGATGGCTGAAATATTTTGATTAGATCGGGTAGGAATAGTTGGTTGGCCGTTATTCATTACTATATAATTCAAATCATGTGCAGCTGTTATCAGTTGTTTTCCAACTACGTCATTAAAATTCGATCCCCTGATTGTATAATGAGCGTTGAAGTGTCCACTTGTAATTGCTGGTTTACTTACTTCCGAGAAAATATTCGTCCAATCATATACTGTGCATTTACGTTTAGGCGATCTGTATGCTTAATTCACTTTTTTGGTATTTAATCTTTGTACCACAAATTCTTTAAGTGTATAAATTTTGAAATTGATATGTTTAAAGCTCGTACAGTTATTAAATTTGTTTATAAGCCTAAAAAATGTTTAAAATTAAAAAAAAATTGTAGGTCCTCCTAGTGAGCCTTCCTTTATAAGTATTAAAAATTGCAACTATCTGAGGGCCTTATTTAGGACCTACTATAAATTTGAAAATTTGCGAAAATTTAGCACACATTTTAAACATAATTAAAAAGTTTTTCTAGGCGAAATATGGAGCTTGTAAGTCAAGTTTAGAAAGTCGAAAACATTTAAAGGATTAACTTCATTTTTTTGTACTTTTTTCCAATTATTGCTATTTTTTCAACAATAAACATTAAATTTTCAACTTCTAGCTAACGAAATATTGTGTAAAATTGAATAACGAAACTTTTAACTTCCTATATTTTTTTCTCTAGGATCAATATTTTCCGAATTATAAACGAAAATAGGAGCAAAAAATGAGAAATTTTCAATTGTTTTCAGATTTTGTTAAATAAAAAATTTAGCACAGGCTTTGCGACTGGCGCATATCGTGATTATCGATATTGGGCACATCCTGAAGGGATTCCAGCAAAAAATTGCTTCCTATGGAAAATGTCCATTATGGTCTGAATTTCTACAGATCCCGCCTAGTCTATCTGCAATATTTAGCTTTATAATGATAAGTAAAAAGTCGAAAGAACGTAATTTTTTACACTAAATTGTTAATAATTAAAAAAAGCCTTCGAAATCTCTACAGAAAAGGTATAGGTTTTCCTCATATAGGCCTATAATAACTATAAAATTTTTCAGCTACCTGGATTTGTCACAATCCCGAGAGAAATCTTATTTTCCGGAGCTATATCTTTTATAAAGTGTTTTAACCAAAACTTGAAACAAAAAATCATTGCTCCATTAGACTTTTATCATCACGCACGTCCTACTAATTTTATTATTAAGTATACATACTTTATTTCAGAGGTATCGTCATTAATGTAAACTGGTAAAATTGGCTCTAGTTGCTTCTGCAAGTAACTTGTATTGATCCATTCAAGTACTGATTTAGCTGGTATTTTTAGCCTGGAAATATACGTTGGTACATAAAGTAGCCTTGTGTCAGTGGTAAGAATTTTCAACTGAAGCATGTTGTCCAGAAATGATATCCAGTTGTCGGTCCACTTAATAAGACCTGTGTTGTCCGATGGATTAAATGCTTGGATATTTTGGAACTCGCCACTAAAATAAATAGTTTCATATATTATTTAAAAATAAGCTGGTAATATAATATTAGGTAATATATTTTGTCTAAAAGAACTAATGGAAAAATCTCCCGGGGCATGTGACTCCCGTGTTACATGCCCCGGGAGATACTTCATGGTCTATTCTGCATGGGCGTCACATGCCCCTACGGCATGCGTGTACATGTAAGTACTTCATGCCCTCTAGTACACACTCAAGTATGAGCCCTGAGGGGCCTTTTCTACTTGATTAATTTGTTATTATATCCCTCACTCGTTTTAAGCGGGTCCGCTTTGGCTTGACAGAAAGCGTTTTTTTTGTCGTTTTTTTTTGCTTTTTTTTCCTAAGACCCTAACTAAAACTATCCTAACTAAAAGTGTGCGTCAGGTGACGTGTGCATTTCCAGGTGTATACGGCCATCAGACACCCCGTGTATATTGTACTTAAATCAATAATATATTTTTTTGGTTGCTTTCTGTCTAACTGTACACTCGTTTTTGGGACTACTGCGCGACTATCTCATTCTTTGTTATTCATTTTGGTTTTTCCCATATTCTGCTATCTGTTGTTTTGGTCTTCTGTTTACCGTCCTTATGTTTTCGTTGTAGTTTGTCAGCTCTGTTAGTATTCTGCTAGGTTGGTTTCTTAATCCATTAAATATTTCATATGCCTGTTCATTCAGCGTGCGTAGGATTCTTTTTTATCCGGAGTCTCTGTATACGTATCTCCTCCTCCTCCTAAGTGCCTTCTCTATTGAGGTTGGCGATCAATATGGCAAATATTTCTCTGTTCTGGGCTTAATGGATTAAGTCATTTCCTGTTGTGTGAGTCCAATGTCTGATGTTTCGGAGCCAGGATTTCTTCTTTCTTCCTATACCCCTTTTACCCTCTATTTTGCCTTCTAATATTACCTGCCCTAATTACCGACACAAACGATCACCTGCATTGCCTAAAAACCCTAATAGAAAAAACTAATGAATATAACCGTCCCTTGGCATTGATATTTGTAGACTTTAAAAAGGCGTTTAATACAGTGGAACTATCATCCATCATAAGAGCACTACAAGATTGAAGGTCGACCACAGATATTGTAATATAATTAAAAATATATATGGAAATGCTACAACAACCATAAGTCTACATTCTGCAACTAATAAAATAAAGATAAAAAGGGGAGTCAGGCAAGGTGATACCATGTCACCAAAGCTGTTCATTACCGTTCTTGAGTATGCATTTAAAAGACTAACATGGCAAAAGAAAGGAATATCCATTGATGGAGAAAGATTAAACCATCTACGTTTTGCGGACAATATCGTGCTTCTGTCAAATAATCTGGGAGAGAGACAACCAAACCTACGAGCTAAATAGACGAATCACGTTGGGATGGGCGGCATATGGAAGGATGAGAGACATTTTTAAAACAAATATCCCAATCCACCTGAAAAGGAAGGCATTTAACCAATGCATCTTACCAGTCTTGACCTACGGAGCAGAGACCCTAACTTTAACGAAAGCTACTGTCGAAAAACTGAAGTTAACATAAAGGCAAATGGAGAGATCAATGGAGAATGGAGAGAGAGCCTGACCTTAAAAGATCGCGTAAGAAAAGAGGAGATACGCGGACGAACTGGCGTAGACGATATTATACTGCGAATCAATAAACAAAAGTGGAGGTGTGCTGGACATGTTGCTAGAATGGAAGACGGAAGATGGATGAAGAGATTATTGGAGTGGAGACCAAGAGCCGACAAGCGAAGTCGTGGCGGACCACCCACCCGATGGACCGACGACCTAAGGAGAATAGAAACAAACTAGATTGCAGCAGCTAAAGATAGAGAGAACTGGAGACGTTTGGAGGAGGCCTATATCCAACAATTAATGTGAAAATGGAGCTGGATAATGATGATGTAGACTATAGCTTTCGCTGGTAGATTCTTCAGGGCTCTGATTATTATATTATCCGGACCTGGGACTTTTTTAGCATTAGTCAGCTTTAGTTGTTTGATTTTTTCAGGAAAAATGTGCATTATGCCTATTCTGCCCTTTCATCTTTTTTTCTTCTTGCCGTTTTTTCTACCTCTTTGGTAAAGTCAAGATCTTCGTATTGGTGTTCGTTGTTGCTACAGGTCCTTTCTAATTCGTCTTTCATGACTTCTGCTTTTTCTTCTTCCTTGAGAACAATGCCATTTTCCCCGTCTAAGGGGGGAATTGGTTTTTTGTCTTTTCAAAGGATTTTAGATAATTTCCAGAACGCCGATCTGTTTGGGTTCATCTCTTGGATATATGAGTCCCAGCATTCATTTCTGTGGTTTTGGAGTTGTTTTTTTACTTCCCTGTCAAGCTCGTTTGTAATTATTTTATCTTTTCTTGTTCTTGTGCGGTATGCTCTTTTTATTTTCCTGTTCTTTTTCTTGATTAGGTTTTTGAGCTTTACGCTGATATCCCTGAATCTTCCCCTCTGTGTAGTGATTGTTTCCGTTTTGGAGCTGGCATCAATGGCATTTGATACAGTTTGCTCTAGATTTTTCATGTTTCTTCGATCTCCGTGATATTGTTGATTGTTGGGATAGTGCCGATGTTCCCGCTCAGAATTATTTTGAAGTTAGACCAACTTGTCTTCTTTTTTTGTGGGGCCGCAAATAGTTTGTTTCCATGTTGTTGACTCATGTTGTGTAGGATTGTAATATCGAGATGTGTGGGAAGTATTTCGTGAAAACATGTCGGATTTGTTAGTAGGATTACGTAAGTGAAAAAGAGGCGGTTAGTTAACGAATTGCTAATCACAAGTTAACGCGACGCATAGGAGATAATTACCCAAGCCATCTGCAATTTTAACGAGATTTACTCATTTTTCTGTGCTTCACTGTTTATAACAATGTTTGAATTAACAGTTTATTCATTGTAACATTGTGCCATCAACCGTTTTTAATTGATCGGTACTGTCTGGGCTTTTGTAAACAAAATGTTGGCTAACTATACAAGGAGAATTAAAACTAACAAAAAGAGTGTTAATATTTTAACAATGTGTTTATACAATTGCGAAACTGCAACAACAATGAAAAAATACTCACCTGTAGTTGTAGCCTCGTAGACGTAACTCTTTATATACGTCTTTTCCCGTTAAACTATTAGAATTCTCAGCAATTGCATCTACACCGTAACAAGTACCATCATCTCCGTCGTTTGAAAATATTTTTCCTGTTACTATCGGGACTCCACCTTCCACAATTTCAAACTTACCAGATATAATATTAAGATAAACTGTAAACATTACCTTCCCCGTTTTAGGTATGGTAGTAGCTCGTAAAAATTTAATGTCTTCAAAAATTATGTGTTTTAAATTAACTGGAATACCTTGTATTAGGGAAAGGGTGTCCCAAACTAAACATAAATATCCAGTAGCTGGAAAAAGCGCTCTTCCTAAAACGATATAAAATTTTAGCACTTTAAATAAAATTGTAATAATTAGAGATTGGTAGTGCATATTGGAGACAGTGTAAGTTGTCGAGTGAAACAAAACTCTCAGCAACATCCACGAATTTAGATGAATAATTTAAAGGTTAATCACCAACACTTTCTTTAAACTACCAGCTAGGAGATTATATACGTGGAGATCACCTCAAGACACCTCAGATCTCATCATCAGAAACCAAATTGATTACATTATGGTGAATAGAAGATTCAGAAACTTAATAGTATCAGCCAAAACATATCTTGGTGCTGATATCGGGTCGGACCATAATTCACTGGTAGTTAACATCAGACTAAAGCTGAAGAAAATACAGAGTGCAAAAGCAAGAAAATACGATTTAGAACCATTAAAAAATGAAGACACCAGGCATCAGATACAAACCTATGTAGAAAAAGAATTAAAAAATACAGACAAAGCTAACGAACCAGATAACGAAATGGCAAAACTACAACAAATTAACCAGACAATCCTGGATAAATATCCTCGTCCAACAACGATTAAAAAAAGAGTGGATTACTGATAAAATCTTAAATATGATGGATAATAGAAGAAGAGCTAAAAATAGAGATATGTGGGAGTATAAACGAATTGACAAAGAAACAAAAAAAAACTATTAGAGAAACCAAAAACAAATGTTTTAAAGATAATTGCAGAGAAATTGAATCATTGGAAAGTAGACACGACTCGTTTAATCTCCACAAGAAGGTAAAAGAGGCAGCAGAAATGAACAAACCCAAGAGATCAGGACGTATGACTGATGATCATGGCTACCCGGTAATAGATATTGAACAAACAAAGAATATATGGAAGAGATACGTTAAGAAGACATTCGATGACGACAGAGATAACATCCAGACAAGTATGGAATACGACACAGGACCACCAATCACTCAAGACGAAGTCAAAGCCGCAATTAAAGCAACCAAAGAAGGTAAAGCACCAGGGCCCGACAACTTTCATTCAGAATTTTTAAAAAGCATGGGAGACGAAGGAGTAAAACGGCTTACGACAACGTTCAATAAAATATATGACTCGGAAAAAATCCCAGAGAGCTGGTTAAAATCTACATTTATTCTTCTTCTTAATGTGCCCTATCAAGTCCCGTTGACGTTGGCGATTATCTGTCTCGAGCTATTCTAAATAGTTGCTCAGCTTTCTTTATTCCTGTCCACTCCCTGATATTCTTCAACCAAGAGGCCTGCTTTCTACCAATTCCTCTGCGTCCTTCGATTTTACCCATCATAATAAGTTGAAGAATATTATATCAGTCTCCCCTTACTACGTGTCCAAAATAGGACATACATTTATTGCTATACCTAAAAAACCTAATGAAAAAAAATGCGAAGAGCATCCTATTATCAGTCTAATGAGCCACATTCTTAAGGCCTTCTTAAAAATAATACACAGAAGAATTTATCAGAAATGTGAGTCACAGATCTTACGAACGCAGTTTGGATTCAGGGATGCGTTAGGTACAAGAGAAGCCTTGTTCGCGGTTCAGGTATTATTTCAAAGGTGCAGAGACCTCAACTGCGATATTAATGTATGCTTTATCGACTACCAGAAAGCTTTCGACAGAATCAAGCACGATAAGCTCATGGATATACTAAAGGTAACTGACTTGGATAACAAAGACCTTCGAATAATCAAGAACATATACTACAACCAATCAGCAACCATTCGGGTGAAAGACCAACTAACAGAGGAAGTTGCAATAAAGTGAGGAGTACGACAGGGCTGCATGCTCTCTCCCCTATTATTTAACGTCTAAATTGTAAATTTACTGTTTGTATTTTGGGAACGATTTCCAAAGTGGAAATTGAAACGTCAATAAACGTATTTTTATCTTTAATTGTGGCCCATTCCCAGTTAAATAGTAATTAATTCTAAAAGCAAATAAAAAACGATTTTTCTACACAACTGACTTATTTATCGTTATATATTATACGACTTCTTACTGAATGGGTTTTTTAATAGCCGATAGTAAAACATTTTATTGCTTTTTGAATTTACAAAACTGAAAAGCCATAAAAAAAGTCGTAAAATTTCCTCTCGTTCAAAAGTCACTATTAAATCTCTTTTTGTGTCCACTATATGAAATAACACTATCGTGTTACTCTTTCTTTGTTAACCATTTTCCATCCACTCCAGAATGTAGGTCTCTTCCAATTGCTTCCATTTTACTCTATCTTGCGCCAATCTAATCCAATGTTTGCCTGCCACTACTCTTATGTCACCTACCCACCTTTTTTGAGGTCTTCCTATGCTTCTTGTTGTCGTCCTTAGTCTGCATTCTAAAATTCTCCGTCTCCACCTGTTGTCATTATATCGGGCTACTTGTCCTGCCCAGCGCCATTTCATTTTTGTTTTCTAGTTTGATGACATGACCCAGATATACATAATGTTCAACATTTTCTATAGTATGATTTTGTATTGTTATATTGTCAAACCAGACCAGACCAGTCGTGTTACTCAGTACATACAAATATAATTCTCTCCTAAGTTAACGCACCTTGCTCGCTACGTATTAAAAATAAATACTCACGTCGATATAGCAAAGTATTTAAGTCAAAAGAAAATGCAAAAAAGTATTTTTGAAGTGTGTATATTTTAGGCAATTCCTAGCTGAGCGCTTTCGGCTTTACAAAGCCATCATCAGAGCTATGCTACAATAAAATGTTCTTATAAGTACTAATTGGTAAAGATTATAATTTTTAACTTACGTCAATTTTTTAAATACCACTACAAAGGAGAGATCTTATTTCCTTAAATTTCAAAATTATGATTTTTTTTAGTTGTTGGAATTCTTAAAACATATAAAAAACATATAAAAAGCCGACACTGGACCTCACAAACACGTTAAAAAATTGAAAAAAATTTTTTGTCATGGTACGGGTGTAAGAACCCGACCATTGATTGATGTGAGGAGGTAGACAACAGAACTAATGAAATCAAATGTTGGTCCTTTTAAACGATTTTTCAAAAGTGACAGTTGACAAATGTCATATATAGGAAATAGAGATTGTTTTTTAAATTCTTACAAAATTATTTAGTAGTTTGGAATTACTAATAGTCATCAAAGACTTTCTAAAAATTAAGTTTTTAAATTAAATTTTATGTGTTCATCACATCATACAGAATGATAGTTAGGTCTAAAAAGTTGATAATGTCAAAAAGAATGCTTCCTCTTCTTCTTCTTTGCCTACACTAGAATTTTCAATATTCAGAAAACCTACTCAAACTAACCATATGATACCAACATCATCAAATCACCCTTTTCAACACAAGATGGCAGCTATTCAATGTTATGTTCACAGACTTCTTAATATCCCTATGTCTCAAGAAAATTACAATAAAGAAATCTCCATCATTAAACAGATAGCAAACAACAATGGTTTTCCTTCTACTACTGTTGATAAAGTCATTAGAAAATCTATACTTAAAAAGAGACTAAACCAAGCTTTTAATGTTGATAAAAAATCCAACACTACTTCCATATATAGATCCTTAACTTACTTAGGACCAATTTCAGAAAAAATTTCAAGAGTACTTGTTAATAAAATTAGTGACATAAACATCTCCTTTAAAACCAAATATAACATCAAGTCCATCTTCAGCAAGACCAAAGACAAAGTTGACAAACTAAACAGAAGTGGTATTTACAAGCTGTCCTGTGGTGACTGTAATATGACTTATGTAGGTAGAACAATGAGAACTCTGAATCAAAGAATTAAAGAACACCTCAATAACCCAGAAAAATCAAACTTTGGATATCACATTAAATTTAATAATCATTCCTTTTCTCCTTCTGAAAACAGTAAAATTTTACACAACATTCCCAATAAAAACTTTAGACTCATGAATCTCTTGGAAGATCTAGAGATATCCAAAGAAATGAAACTAAACCCTGATTGTTGCTTAAACACACAAATCAACCTCAATTGCAACTATAAACCTCTTTTTAAATTATTATGGGAGACTTTAGAGGAAGAAGGGTGACCTCATGCAATCTTATTATATATTTTCATACTTTTATATTTTTAAACAAATTTTAAACTTTATTAGAAATTTACAACATTTTGTAATTCATTTGACAGTTATTCTTAATTGAAACATGAAAATACATTCTTAAAAAATTTTAAGCAAATTTCTTACAATTTTCCATCAAGAGATACAATTCTCAATACACTTAAGTATCAGATAACTTAACATTAATACCATGTTTCTTCTTTATATTGTTGTTGAACATTTGAGCCCTTGTTTCTTAAGGATGGCTGTCAGATTGAACATACATTGACCTTGAGCAATGACTTGAGTGAATTTACAAACTAATGTCATTCTGTATGATGTGATGAACACATAAAATTTAATTTAAAAACTTAATTTTTAGAAAGTCTTTAATGACTATTAGTAATTCCAAACTACTAAATAATTTTGTAAGAATTTAAAAAACAATCTCTATTTCCTATATATGACGTTTGTCAACTGTCACTTTTGAAAAATCGTTTAAAAGGACCGGAAATTAGTTCTATTCTGTCTACCTCCTCACATCAATCAATGGTCGGGTTCTTACACCCGTACCATGACAAACAATTTTTTTCAATTTTTTAACGTGTTTGTGAAGTCCAGTGTCGGCTTTTTATATGTTTTTTATATGTTTTAAGAATTCCAACAACTAAAAAAAAATCATAATTTTGAAATTTAAGGAAATAAGATCTCTCCTTTGTAGTGGTATTTAAAAAATTTACGTAAGTTAAAAATTATAATCTTTACCAATTAGTACTTATAAGAACATTTTATTGTAGCATAGCTCTGATGATGGCTTTGTAAAGCCGAAAGCGCTCAGCTAGGAATTGCCTAAAATATACACACTTCAAAAATACTTTTTTGCATTTTCTTTCGACTTGTCATAAGTGGTGTACAAAAAATATCAGTCTTTTATTATTATTCAAAGTATTTAAGTTTAGTTTTTTAAGAAACATTAATAACAAAAGTCTTAGTAAAATCATTTAAAATGAAATATTAAATTGCAATTCATTATTTCTTTAGCATCGAACTATAACTTGCTTTGTCATAGAAGCATGAGAAGCCTTGTCATAAGATAAAAAGAAGCGAGTGGTGCATTGTATGATAAAAAGATGAAACTGAAGGAATTTTTTTTAGAAAACTGCTATGGTGTACGGATCTAAATGTTAGGCAGTTAAAAAGAAAGAGGAACAAGGAATTTATGTGGCAGAAATGAGAAAATTTAGGGGAAGTCTAGGGGTGATACAAATTGATGCCAAAATGAAATAGCATAAGTTAAAATGGATCGGGCATGTTCAACCTCGAGACGTTAATCACTCAATACGGAGTAGGAGAGAAAGTCGTGGGAGGAGCCATTTAGACAAGACATGTCGATAAAGGAGATCGATGTTGGTATGATACAAGGTGGAGACTTATATATGTTTAGTTTTAGTCTATATTTTTAAATAAGAGATGTGGGACCGTAGGAAACTTATTATAGGAAAATGCCTATAACTCCGGTTCTACTTAGCCAGCTTGTGCCATCTTGGCCCTAATAAAAACAGACTCCGTATTATTTTAAATTGTAAAAAGCGATATTTTCCATATGAATTCTGCTTTTAAGAGCCACGGTCCTTCTTTTTTTAACATTACTTTAGAAAAAATAAAATAATAAAAAATCTTACCGTCAATTACATGACCTTGAACAAAACTCCACTCTTGATCAGCGAACTGAACAACTACCGATCTTGAACCAAATTGAACGGCATTATTCAGATCTACATCATACGATGGTATAAACCATTCACGTTCATGTTGCCATTTAATAAACGGTGAAATCATCCTTGTACCTCTACTTACAGGAAATGACACTTCTGGGTATAATTTTGCTAACTGAGGATTGTAACCATTAACATATAAACTAGAAAGAAAAAGAATTATTATATTTATAATATATCCTACATCTAGTTCAATAATGCCACAACTGCAAAAAATTCTAATTTCGAGTTAAGGCTTTAAAAAGATTGCTTATATGATACCACATCCAAAGCAATACAGTCATCATCTTTGGCTCGACAATCCTCTGTGGATCTCTAAGATTCGTCGCCATTCTGTTCGGTTTTTGGCAAATGTTGCCATCTTCTGATTTTTAATATTCGTAAGTCGGTTTCTACTCCATCTAACCACTAATTCCGGGCGGCCTTTGTTTCTTTTCCTACAGGTGTTCCCTTGGTTAGCTTTTTAGCAATGGTATTTTCTGGCATTCGTATTATGTGTCCAGCCCATCTAAGTCGCTGTGTTTTAATAAACGTTATGACATCTGGCTCATCAAAGAGCTGATACAATTCAAAATTATATCTTCTGCGCCACTGCCCTTGGTCGTTTACAGCTCCCAATATTTTGCGGAGTATTTTACGCTCAAATATTTCCAAAAGTCTTTCATCTTTCTGCGTTAGAGTCTTGGTTTTGAACATGTACTTGGTTTTGTCTTCGTTGATGACTAGACCGACCTGTTTGGCTGCTGTTTCCAATTCTAGGAGATATTGCTCAACATCTCGCTTGCTACGCCCTACTATGTCAATGTCATCAGCATATGCTAAGACTTGTATCGATCTATTGTAAATAGTACCGCCATCCCTAATTCGTGTATCTCGGACTGCCTTTTCTAAGGCAATATTAAATAGGAGGCAAGCCAGAGGATCTCCTTGTCTGAGTCCATCCTTTATCTCAAAGGATCTAGAACTCTCTCCCTGTATTCTAACAGTGGCTTCTAAGTTAGACATTGTCATTCTTGTTAGTCGGATAAGTTTCTCTGGTATACCAAACTCATGCATTGATTATTATAGCACTGTTCTCTTGACACTGTCGTATGGGGCCTTGAAGTCGACGAATAGGTGATGGGTTTCAATATTGAATTCTAATGTTTTCTCGAGAATCTGTCTTATTGAATGAATCTGGTCAATTGTTGATTTTTCTGGAGTGAATCCAACTTGATATTTACCAATTATGCCACTGTGTAAACTTGCAACCTTTCGTAGGAGAATATTTGCTAGTATTTTGTAAGCAGTTGTTAACAGGGTTATACCTCTATAGTTGTCACACTGGAGCTGGTCACCTTTTTTATGTAACGGGCATATCACGCCTTGAGAATATTCACAAGGCATGGTCTCATTATGCCAAACAAGAAGTAAAAGTTTAATTCGAAACGCAACCGTCATTTATTTTGTTATTGTCCTTGCTCGACGCAATGAGTACAAAATGATAGTAGTTTATATGTGTAAATTGTTGATGCATAGTGGAATTTTAATATTCTCAGCATCGCTCTGAATGGCTTGATTAAGCTTGGGTTATAACAGTTTACTTTAATTGCTATCGATATTTAACTTCATGTTTCCTCACTAGAGGCCTCTATAGCATACTCTGGCCATTATGTTATACTATAATTGCCTTAGTAGTCGGTGCGTTTTGATTTGGTTTGAGTCTTCTTACAAACTCCTTCTGATGACGGGTAGACCCAGAAACACGTGTCAGGGAGTGGTAAGAGACTCAAATTAAATCGAAACGCAACCGTCATTTATTTTGTTATTGTCCTTGCTCGACGCAATGAGTACAAAATGATATTAGTTTATATGGGTAAATTGTTGAATGCATAGTGGAATTTTAATATTCTCAGCATCGCTCTGAATGGCTTGATTAAGCTTGGTTATACAGTTTACTTTAATTGCTATCGATATTTAACTTCATGTTTCCTCACTAGAGGCCTCTAGTAGCATACTCTGCCATTATGTTTACTATAATTGCCTTAGTAGTCGGTGCGTTTTGATTTGGTTTGAGTCTTCTTACAAACTCCTTCTGATGACGGGTAGACCCAGAAACACGTGTCAGGGAGTAGTAAGAGACTCAAATTAAATCGAAACGCAACCGTCATTTATTAAGAAGTAAAAGCTTATGCAGTGTCTGTAGTAGGGCATCGCCACCATTATTGTAGAGCTCACTGCAAATTTGATCAACTCCTGGTGATTTATTATTTTTAAGCTTTTTAATGGCTTGAGCAACGTTTTCGATGGTAGGTGGTCTTTCGTTTGAGTTGAAAGGATTCCAATCATTTCGATTTGCTAGGGTGTTATCTGCTTCTTCAATATGATGGCCATTAAATTTTGCATCGAAAAATTCAACCCATCTGTTTAGGATTAAGGCTGTATCATTTAGGATGTTTCCTTCTACATCCTTACAGCTCCTTATTCTTGGCTTAAACTCTTTGCGCATTTTGTTTAGATTTCTGTAGAACTTTCGAGTTTCATTTTGATTTCTTAGCCATTCTGTGCTTTCCAACTGCTTTTGCTCAAATTGTTTTTTTTCTTCTATGTAATCGTTTTTCTTCTCTTCTTAACTGGTTTGGTTTGGTGGTTAAAGTGGTGGTTAAAGCAATCCAGCCTTAACTGAAATATTGTCTTGGATGAATATAGAGTAAGATACTTCGGTATTACACTGTAGGGTTTTGAAATGCAATATGTGTAGTAAAAGCAGTACAGTTTTTAACATGGCTTAAAATATAATTCCAGAACTGTATTAAATTTTAATGTACGTATGTCTGCATTAGGTATGTATGAAATTAGTTATGTTATTATATATGTTTATTTTGTATGTTGTATGAAAATATCGCTCTGTCTGTAATTATAAATAATGTTAACATCCAACGGCAACTTTTCAAATTAACCATTACTTTTTGTTTCAGTGTCAAATTCAAGAGAGAAATTTCAATTCCGATGACTCTGTGGCAGACAGTAACTACTCACCTGATACTTCTTTAAATACTGATAGTGAAAATAAAAATGGAAATGAAAATAACGTAGCAGATTCTGATACCGAAATAATGGAAGATAATGAAGTGGTTGACAGGATGATGTACATAATGATGTACGCATTGAGAGAACAGGTACGGTAACTGAAATTCATAATTCTCGAAAACAATTGCGGAAACCAAGTGAATGGAAAAGAAATATTAAGAAACTGAGAGTTAACTCTGGGCTGCCTTATATTACAGAAGGCAACAAAGAAAAACGTGGGAAGACTTTAAAACTTGCATGTGGAGAAAAATGTACAAAATGCAACCAAAAATTCAGCAATGCTAATAGATATGATATACATACACATTTCTGGAATTTGAAAGACAACTCCCTTCAAAGACAATTTGTTGCTTCCCATTTGGAAAAGTTGGTTACTAAATACAGAAGAGCGGTTGAAGGCAGTAACCGCGATATGAATTTAGCATAATTTTTAACAATACACGGTACAAAAGTTAAAGCCTGCAAAAAGTTTTTCATGAATACCATGGACATTGATAATAAATTAGTAAGAACAACTTGGAGAAAATCAGATGATAAAGGATCTGTGGAAAAGAATAAGAGAGGAAATTTTATGAAACGAGGAACGGTTACTAGACCGGTGAAAAATAAAATAAGAGAGCACATAAATTCTTTCCAAAGAGTAGAATCACATTATCTCAGAGCACAAACTACAAAGGAATACATAGATGGTTCACTTACTTTAGCACAAATTTATCGCTACTACAAACTACAGGAAGAGGCTACCTTGACCAAGGATCAGCTCACTACCCGGGACTGAGGGCCGTGTTTTTGTCGTGTCAAGCATGCTTGGATTTTAGCCACACTTTACCGCGCTGGCCAGTGCGGTCTGGTAGAGGGTAGGATGAAGGTGGGAGTTTTAAAAGGGAGAGATAGGAAAAAGGTATGAGGACCTGGCCTCCTCAGACAAGAAAGGATTGAGAACCAGAAACTAGCGTAAGGCAGGGTAACTACTATTGCTATAGATAAAATAGAATATAATAACAAAAGAATAGAATTTTTAAATAATCAAAATATTAAAACGGCAAATAAAAATCTGACAGAAAATCGCATCAGAGTGCTATAGGGGGGAAAGAGATGGCCTGGTGCATTGGAGCGCAGTGGAGTGACTCCTATTTTAACTCGAGATAATACATCTCACTTTAATGAATTGTTACACCCGAACGTAATTCTTAGGTGTGAACATCTCTCTCTGGGTTTAATTAAATTGCTTGGTTGAAGAACTAGTAAGACTTACTATTAAGTAAAACTAAGGATACGGTAGTTTTAATATCGATTAAAGGACTTTCGTCCTGGAAGTTCAAGCTATAGTACTCATCTGGTAAGAGCTTCTAACCGTGTCAGAAAGAAATATTGTTGTTATTAAGACTTACTTGGCCTCAGTATTGAATGCATCAGCCATGTTTGCTGCAACATTTTTCTCTTAAACAAAGAAGTTCCACTAGCTGGTTTTAAAAATACAATAATTCTCTTTTGTTTGTCGTTTACTATTGCAGCATGCTAATTTTTTTTAAACTATGAAATATTTATGTATAAAATTTTCTAAAGATGGCTCTGGTCCGAGTACTTCCGTTTAAATGTTTGATATATTGCGTTTTGGTTCTACGATTCTAAAATTAAGCCGAAATATCTCAAGGATAATTTTCGAGCTAAAGTTAACGATAATTTAGCTGATTCGTTGGTATTCAAAGGCGCGGGGAAAAGAATCTATAGTAGCCGGCCGGTACATGATTGAATTCGTTTCAGGTTTGAAGATTTGGTCAAACGGAACGGTCGTTGTTGCGTGGTGATCGGGGGCCGGCATAATTTGCCGAAAATGGTGGAATTTTACTCTATGTAATATGACGAATCTGGAAGAGTGACCACTGTTTCTATATTCTAAGAGATATGTGTCAAAAATTTAAAAGGTAAATGGAATTATTCCCCTTTTTTTCAATGTTTCCAAGGTTTGCATTAGTTCCACTTTAACCTCACATCTAATTGTCTCTGGTCGTCTTTCCAGACCATTAAATCAGTTTGTTTTGTTCGTGTCCAGAGAGTTTAACCTAGAAAACTAGAAAACTAATGTTTTTGGCTAGACTCGTAGACTCCGGTTTTCGCAAAGATAAATTATTGTGACGCTTCATAAAATCTTTCAATTACTCAATTCCAGCAAAATGATTTTTCGACCATGACTTTGGCACATTTTTTTTTTCAAGCTTTAGAGCATACTCATATGCGAATGTTTGAATTTGAAAGTAGGTTAATCCAAATTGTCTTTTATGTAACATGGACTTCTTCAATTTATATCTCTCTGCTACGTTTCTGATTGATCCGTTACCATTTTTTCTATCGCAAATGTCATGAACTACTACGTTTTCAAGAATATTACTTCCATCAGTTTTTCTGATGTAGGTTCTTACCATTATTTTGAACTGTAAGATAAAAGAAAGATATTTTAGGTCGTTTTGTTTTGAAAGAACCTATGAGGTACAAGTGGACACTGTCCACTTTTTCCCCTGTATAATGTTCACATCTGCCCCGTATGCATAGTTTTTCAAAAGTACTGGATATCTGTTTGTAAAATACGATGCACTTTGCAAGGAAACACAGAATATCACTAAATAATATTACATTCTCCAAAAAACTGCTTATTTACTTTTCGCGGCAAAAGTAACACAATCTCGTGACACAAACAAATGGCAACTGACATTGAATTTATTTCTTGACATAGAACTATATGACCAGTGCCACTTAGGAGAGTCAGTTAGAACTACTTATAAAGACATCTAGACGAAAAAAAAAAATCAACTGTCCACTTGTGCCTCCCCTTTCCCTACAGTTTATATATTCACTGTCCTTAAATAACATTTGTACTTTTTTACGTTAACATAATATATACCTACTTTCCCAAAATTTTTAAAAATCCGGTTAAATAGTTGTCCTCGTGTTTGGAAACCAACGGAATAACTTCAGCATCATCCAATATTGAAATTGAACCAAAACTTAGCACTAGTGAATTACTTTTCATATGCTCCAATTTATTGGAAATGCCGTTAACCAAAGCTTTGATGAAATAATCGGCTGTTTTAATGTTCTTGGAATTTCCGTTGGAAGGATTTTTCAAAATGTCTGATAAGTTGGCCGCTAATTCTTTTTCTAAAAAAATTATTAAACTATTAAAGCAACCATTACTAAATGTAAGTTTTACAATAAACAAAGAATGTAGTAACTAAAAAATGAACAATAATATTACTCAAATATTGAAAAAAGCTAAAAAGAAATACTGTCCTCGTCCTGAAAACAATAACAAAAAATTAAGTCACAACACAAAACATCTTCTAGAGGAAAGAAGAAAACTTAGGGAAAATCAGGACCATAACCAAAATGAACTAAGAATTTTAAATAAGAAAATTAAAAAGGAAGTTAGAAAAGATCTGAGATGATACAATACAATGGAAATAACTAGAGTACTAGTAGGAAACCAAATCTTGAAAGTACTCAGACAGAGCATGTCCATTGGAACAAAAAACGTCCACAAATTAAGAAATGAACAGGGGCAAATCATTGAGGATAGAGTTCAAATATGAACACGATAGAGAGTTTTTATAGACAACTATACAAAAGAACAGCAATATAACAGGAGTGGATCATTACCAAAGATAATCAATCAGGGATCTGAAATTTTACCGGACGTAACACCCAATGAAGTTCGAAGGTCAGTGCAAGAAATGAAAAACAATAAGTCCCCGTAGGCGATGAAATAGTGGCAGATGCCTTGAAAGTGGCTGGAAACAGATTATGGCAGGTCCTTGCCAAACTATTAACTAGATGTTTACAGGAAGTAAATATTTTGTAACATTTTGTCTTCACTTCCTTTCTACACTATGGTGTTTTCTTTTTTGACTGACTATTGTGCAATAATAAAATAACAAAATAAAATAACAGAAGAATGTATAAAACAATAATAGAAAGTATTGGGACAAACTTTGGCGTCGTACAAATCAATAAAAAAAATTAAAAAAATTAAGCCAATAGAAATCGACTATAGAAGACGATGTTGCTGACACAATAAATTTGATAGGGTGAGGAACGTAGACATTAGGAGAGAAGAATGCCTGAAAATGGGTTGCTAAAAAAGATAGAAAAATGGACTCCGCTCAAAAGACAAAAACAAGGTAGATCAAGTTGGTAACAGGGAGAAGATGTCGAGGATGCAATGACTGCCAGAGATTTAAAAACTGAAAATTGCTTTGACAGAAAACGCTGGAAATTAGGATGCGAAAAACGGCGTCAGCTGTAGAAGACTTGCCTATTATATATACATCAAATATCATTAAACATGTAAAATAATGTCGTGCTTTTTATATTTTAAAAATTTATAATACAAAAATGTCATTTTCGATAAAAATTAACAAGACCATATATAATAATATACTTACTTATTGAAGAAGATTCTACTGATCCAAAGTTTGCTCTAAATTTATCCAATAAAGCGGATACATTGCTGCTTACTTGGTTGTTGACTATATTATTAGCCTGCAATTAACAGTTTTTTTAAAATGAATATTGAAATACAAGGAACATATTCGAAGTGCTTGGAATAGAAATTAGATATTTACTTTTCCGAACTAGAAAATTGAAACATTTTTGGACCAATCTAATTTTTAACGTTAGTTCAATCATTTTTTAAATGGTATTATGAAGTTTTCCAGTCTGATACATTGTCTTCACATTCCAGGTAAATATTTTGATAATCAACTCTGAAGTTTTCAGAGAGACTTTTCCAATTCTGTCACAGGAGTCTATCTGGGTTTACAATCTGGTAGGCCCTGTGGCCTACCAGATAGGAGGAATAGCCTAAATATTTTAAATACAAACTTTAAGATTGCAACATGGAACGTTAGAAGTCTGTTCGACACAGGAAAATTAGCAAATGTATGCCACGAAATGAAACGTTTAGGGTTGTAGATATTGGGTTTGAGTGAAGTTAGATGGCCAGGTTTAGGTAAAGTTAAAATCATGAACAAAACTTTCTATTACTCGGGTAATAATGATCCGGTTCATCGTAACGGGGTTGGAGTAATTCTAGAAGACAAATATAACAATGCCGTCACAAACTTTGTGCCATTTTCGGACCGATGTCTTCTTATTTAACTATCCGGAAAGCCAGTAAATATTAACATCATTCAAACCTATGCCCCTACGGCCAATAAACCCATAGAAGAGCTAGAAGCGTGGTATGCTAACGTAGAAAAACTTATAAAGTTAAAAAAAAAAACGAGATCTAACATTTATCTTAGGTGACTTTAATGCTAAGTTAGGTAGAGGAAAAGTTTCTGGATTGATCGGAGACTTCGGACTTGGAGCAAGGAACGACAGGGAGGGAGAATGACCGAATTCTGCCAACAACACAACATGGTAGCGACAAATACATGGTTTAAATTACACCCTCGCAGATTGTGCACTTGGACTTTACCACAACACAATGAAAACAGAGTAATCCGTAACCAAATACATTACATATTGGTCAACAAAAGATATCACAATGCAATCATCAGTGCAAAAACATATCCTGGAACTGACCTCAATTCCGATCATAATCCTGTTGTTGCAAAAGTTCGCGCAAGATGGAAACTAATAAAGAAACAAAAACCTCAACACCAACTATTAGACATCCAATTATTGAAAAACGACACCATAAATCAGACAGTAAATAAAGAAGTAAACAAAAATTTAGGAAATATCGACCACAATAGAATTAGCGAGTACGATGACATAAACATTCTGTGGAAAACTATTAAAGAACAAATGAACAATGTAACGGAAAAACATCTAAAAGTAACACCTAGAAGTAACAAACAGGAATGAATGACAGAAGAGATTTTACAATTTATGAATAGACGAAGAGAATATAAAGGAAAAAATGACAAGGACGGAGAATACAAAAGACTAAATAGAATAATTCGAAAAAAAAAAAATAACCGAAGCAAAAGAGAAATGGCTGGAAACAAAATGCGTTGAAATAGAAGAACTGCAACAAAGGCACGATTTTTTTAATTTACATAAAAAGGTAAAAGAGTTTACATCGACTACCAAGAGAACAACTTTTCACACCATGCTGAACACGGATGGCAAACTGCTCGAATCAACGGAAGATAAACTGAAAGAATGGGAAAACTATATTAAAATTCTTTTTCACGACATACGAGAAGAACCAAGATTGGAAAATAACAACAAAGGGCCAACAATTCTGAAATCTGAAATCATAAATGCAATTAATCATCTCAAAACAAATAAAAGTCCAGGTCCAGACGGAATATACCCAGAAACGTTAAAATTAATCAGCGAAGAAAATATCGAAATATTTGTCCTTTTATTCAATCGCATTTATGATACAGGTAAAATACCCCAAGATTGGCTGGAGTCAATATTCATCCCACTACCAAAAAAGCCAAACCCACAACACTGCAATAAGTTCCGTCTGATAAGCCTTATGAGTCATGCAGTAAAAGTCCTACTAAAAATCGTACATAATCGTATCTATAGAAAGTGCGAAACAATCATCGGAGACGACCAGTTTGGATTCAGAGCCGGCATGGGAACGAGAGAAGCCCTGTTCAGTTTACTAGTTCTCGCCCAAAAATGCTACGACCAACAGAAAGATATATTTATATGCTTTATATACTTCGAAAAAGCATTTGATAGAGTAAGACACGACCTACTATTAGAACGTTTGCAAGAAGTCGGTTTAGATGAAAAAACATCAAATTCTTAAAAAACTTGTACTGGAACCAAAACGCCAGAGTTAGAATCGAAGGTTCCACATCCGCAGAAGTAGAAATTAGGAGGGGAGTTAGACAAGGATGTGTTCTGTCGTCTTTGCTGTTTAATCTTTACTCCGAGTTTCTATTTAAAGAAGCATTGGAGTATTCCAAGGATGGAGTCAATGTGAATGGCGTAAATATCAACAGTATCAGATACGCCGATGATACAGTGTTAATTGCGGATTCCGACTTAGATCTACAACGACTAATCGACAAGACCAACTCGACCTGTGAGCAATTTAGTATGAAAATAAACATTAAAAAAACCAAAGTCATGTCAATCCGAAAAAACCAAAACGTACCTCAACCTTGCACAATAAATGGGCACATTTTAGAACGAGAATAGAACAGGCCAGAAAATCCTTCAAAACAATAAAACAACTGCTTTGTGATTCTCGAATAAAACTCGAAATTCGACTACGTTTATCAAAATGCTACGTCTGGTAGACTCTTCTATATGCAGTTGAAACGTGGACCCTTAAAACATCAACCGTAAATAAATTGGAGGCCTTTGAAATGTGCATCTACCGGAGAATACTCAAAATTTCATGGACATCGCATACCTCAAACGAAGAAGTGCTGCATAGAATAGGCAAGGAAAGAGAACTTTTTAACACAGTAAAAGTTGGAAAATCATCATACCTAGACCACATACTGAGAAATAATAAGTACCAATATGCCCAACTTATAGTGAAAGGAAAAATCGAGGGAAAGGGAGGCCTAGGAAGGAAAAGACTATCATGGCTCAGAAACATCCGACAATAGACAGGGCTAAATTTTGAAGAGCTAATAAGAACAGCTGAAGATAGAGAAGAGTTTAAATGTTTAGTAGCCAACCTCCATTGAGGAGAGGGCACTTTAAGAAGAAGTAAGCCCTGTGATCTAGAGGTGGATTTCCTCCGCTGTCGAATCTTGTCTTCCGTGTTCCATAATTAATAGCTGTTTCCACTTTGGTTATGTTTGCCATGATAGCTGTACTAGAGATGTCATCAGGGACTTCTAATACAGTGGTTTCTCGTTTCCTTCTGCATTCAGCTGCAGTTGACCACTTTCTTGGTTCTTCCACCTTCGAGACTAATTTCTCAATCTCAACACAATAGAGTACCCTTCCACTTACCAGCTCATCTGTCTGAAGCCGTGGTCCAGTAAATGGTGGATTGCTGATGAGCCTGATTTACTATTTAGCTACATTAAAATATTAACAGAAAATCTCAGCCCAAGATATTCATTTTTAACACAAAGTGTTTTAATAGAAGAAGAAGTTAATAGTAAATCGTTAAAAACATATGAGTAAAGATAACGATACTTACAATATTTATTTCTTTTCCTTTACAAGTAGCATTTATTCTCTCAACTACGTCGTTAATAGTACAAGCGCATTCGAGAGTTTGTTTAAAAGTCAGTATTCCGTCAAAGTATGCAGCTAGCAGTTCCCCAAAAGAGTATCCAAAACAGTTTATCGGCTGAACTTCCAAAATTTTGAAAATATCTATTACACCAAGTTGAACCAAAATACTTCCTAATATTTGATTTTTAGTACTTGATTCATGTGCTTTGAGAGCATCATTGATATTAATTCCTTTGGGAAGCAAAATTTTATGTGCCCTAAAAATGTTAAAAAGGTATATAATAATATTTACAACACATTAATGAACCATTTCAAAAAAATAATTAATTAACGAAACTCCATTAGGAACAATAAAAATACAAACTTACTTTTCTAAAGTAACAGCAAAAGCAGGTATCAATTTAAGACATTTTCCTAGCTCAAACCATTCATTCAGTTCACCAAAAGCAAAGTATAAGTTTGGCTTGTTTATAGAAGAATAACCTGTAAATCTATATAATTCTCCAGATTTTCCTACTATAGAATAACCCCTACAGCGATGGTTTAAGATTTGTTTTCTGAAATGAAAAGAAATTAAAATAAAAATAGAATTTAATAAAATTTAATTAAAATAATATAAAAAAGTCGAAACTATTTTGTCTAGAAAATATGCTTGAAAGGAGGGATTCTCAAAGGACATAAAAATAACTCAAGCAGAAAGACGTTTGAGATTTAATTTCAATGCAGGACTCCTGCCATCCGCTTATACGTACTTCGACCTTATTAGGTCTACTTATAGTAGAAATCCAAAAATTTTTTACTTTTAGATATTTATTTGGCTACTGTGCTTTCTACAATATTTAAAGCAGAAATATTGATGAATTAGCCGACAAGGGACATCTACAATTTGCATTTCACGATCTGTCAATCTATCACGACAAAAATCCTTCACGAATTAGTTTCTAGTACTTACGAACTTGAGTAAATAAATATAAACAAAAAAAAGTTTGAGATTTAATTTCAATGCAGGGCTCCTGCCATCCGCTTATACGTATTTCGAGCTTTTTAGGTCTCCTCAGAGTAACTTATGCAGAAGCTTTTAAAATTCGGTTCAGTAATTAAAGAAACAGGACGTTGTGTTAAAAGAATAACGGTATCACAAGGGTAAGATAATGGCAAGACAAAAATAAATCAGCGACAAGACAGCGAAGTAAACAGAATTGACATCAAAGTCTATAATAATAATGAATCACATGAGAACCGTTTTGAATCACAGAAAATTTCTTTTTCATAAAGCGATCCTCTGCTAAAGAAAACAAGTAGTGGACTCTATGAACCTTCTTCTTCTTGACTGGCTGTACAGCTTAGGATGAGTCCTCGCCGTATTCACTATAGCCCTCCATCTTTCATCCTATGAATAGCTTTAGTAAACGGGCAAGTTTAAGGGCTCTTGGAAGATAAGGTTTAGCGACTACAAGCGACCAAACAAGCAATGAGTCGTTTTTGGGAAGTTAAGAATTGTATGCCAAGATACTTCTTCTTCTTGTAGTAATAGATATGCCTATCCATTTCGGCTGTTATCGACCCTCATGACAATCTGTATTTTGCAAACTGTTGCTCTGAAACGATTTGTGGTTGTTATGTTGAATAACTATAACAAATACAGATGAAGAGATCACAATGAGAATCGGACAAGATGAAATAGAACAAGTTAAGAATTATATATATCCTGGTTAAACTATAAAACTTAACAAAGAGAACCAAACAGCAGAGATCAAGAGACGAGTTAGACTGGCATGGGCGGCATTTGGCAAACTAAGCTACATTCTTAAAAACAAAAGATATCCACAGCATCTTAAGACCAAAGGATATGGTTCCCAAACGTGGACATCTACAAAAGCAAACATGGACAAAATCATAAAAACCCAAAGAGCAATGGAAATACAAATGTTGCACATAAGACTAATGGATAAGAAGAGGAACGAGTGGATAAGAGAGAAAACAAAAGTGAGGGATGTTAGACAAGAAGTTGCAAAATTGAAATGGAGATTCGCCGGACATAATATAAGACAAAAAGAAGACCGATGGAACAAAATTCTTATAAGTTGGAGACCGTGGGAATATAAACGAAGCAGAGGAAGGCCCCAAATGAGATGGGCAGATGATATCAAGAAGCACGTGGGCTCTAGATGGATGACTATAGCGACAGACAGAGAAGTATGGAAAAGGATTGGGGAGGCCTATGTCCAAAGATGGACCGAGGAAGGCTAATTAGAGAAATAGATGTTGAACACGTACGTAGATTTTTCAGCCAGGAAATTCCTCGCCTTTCTATGCCAAGATACGGTAATTAGAAATGACTGAGTACTACATTTGGTATCTGAGTCCATTCATGAATGTTTTTCAACCAAGAAACTTGTTGTCTTTACACACCTCTATGGCCCTCTATTTTGCCTTTAAGGATCAGTTGTAAAATTGTAGTCAGTCTTATATTACCATACCGACTAAAAACGTTCTCCTTCTTCTGTCCCTGTTTCCTTCGTGGAACCACCGTGAGACATTACTTTATGGGGGGATTATCTAGTTATTACTGATTCTTAAAGTTGTCAAAGTCATTGCTTCCCTTCTTCTAGCTGTCTTTATTTCCAGCTCGCTCCTGTCAATGCGACGAAGGTTCTGGGGGACTTCCACCGCAAATGTGCTTATTGCGCAAAAGCTGTTTTCCATGAAAGTATTTCTCATACTAAATTCTGTGGTCAATGTTTTTTAAGTACAGTTTCTAGTATGTCGTGTCTCTCGTATTCACTGACTCCGGAATAGGATGGGCACTCTAGAGAATCTTCATGTTCGAAACCATAAAGATATGCAAGCATCCATGTCCTGAGAGCATCTGCGTCAGATAGTCGTTTATCTCGCCATGTTTGCGGTTTAGCTTAACATTCGCCTGTGATATGAGATAATGCATCTACCTGTTCGTTATTGCGGAATCCTACTGTATTTGCCATAAACGCATGTTGTTTTAACCGTCTAGGTTACAAAATACAGAAGAACAAGGAGCTGATGCTATAAACTAATGTCTATCGGACACCTGATGCGAGGGATACAGATAAAATACTACAGTTAACCATCGAAGGCAAAATTCAGGGTAAGAGTTCAATAGGAAAAAATAGGAAGACACAATTCCTGGCTCAAGGATATATGCCAAAGGCTTGGCAAAACATCATCCAAAATCTTCAGAGCCGCCATTTCACGTTTAACCATTACCAATTGGATCGCTAACCTTCTAAGAGAGACGACGTAATAAGAAGAGAGAAGATAAAGCAGAAAAAAATAATATACCCCGGATATACCAGAGCTAAATAAAAAATCCTTGGATGTTAGTAGAAGGATAGTTGTTATATATAATAGATCTGCAAAAGTTCTAATAATTTGTATAATAATTAATCAATGCTATACAGTAAATAAATTTGCTGTAGTACGACTGTCCTAAAACAGTCTAGAACACGCAGTTTCTAAAGCAGTACAAAAATATCAGTTGTTCTTCATATTACCATATACACTTACCTAAATACATTATGCAATAGTCCAACGTATTCAGCATCCAATGTGTGCGATTTGATCTCATCGAAAATCGTCAAAAGTGCTTCAGATGTTCTACCACTGACACATATTACTCTTGGTATATCGTCGTTTGGTAGACCGTGGTCAATTTTTTCTTTAGGATAACCTCTTAACAGTACGTGGCAATTGCCTCCACCAAAACCAAAATTATTAATACCTTAAAAAAATATTTAAATTGGTAGCAAAAACATTAAAACTCGTAGTATCAAACAAAAATAGAAAAAACCCAAAAGAAAAAATATCATCATCACTAAATCTTCGCTTATCTACTGCTATACATAGATCTCCCTCATAATTTTCCATCTATTTCGAACTTGTGCCTTTTGCATTTAATTCCTATGACAAAGTTTTAGATCGTCAGTCCAACGTGTTGGTGGACGACCTCTGCTTCGGTAGGCACCATCTCTTGGTCTCCATTCCAGTGTCCGCTTTGTCCATCTATTATCTGTCATTCGAGCCACGTGACTTGGCCAGTTCCATTTCAGTGTTACTACTCTCAATGCATCAGCCACTCCTGTTCTTTGTCGTAGCTGGCGATTTGGGATCTTGTCTCATAGTGAAACGCCCAACATAGCACGCGACATCACCCTTTAACACACACCGATGTTTTGAACTGTTCTCCTTGTCATGGTCAACGTTTCCGCACCGTAAGTCAACACTGGTAAAACACACTGATTAAAGGTTTTTCTTTTTAGGCATAATGGTATTTCAGACGATTTAAAAATATGGTTCAGCTTGGCGAAGGCTGTCCAAGTCAGTCTTATACGACGGAGAAGTTCAACGGTTTGGTTATCTTGTCCTACGCGGATCTCATCTCATGACCTAGGTACTTATAGGCCATTATCAGGTCTATGGATCTTGTTCGTACGCATATATCTTTGCTGACTACAAGATTTGTCATAATCTGAGTTTTATATATATTTATTTTCAATCCCCCTTCTAGCGAGGAAAGGTAGAGCTGATTTAAATGTTCTTTTGCCCCATCTAGAGAAAAAATGCCCTATACCAATACAGGGTATATTTTTAAATGTGCCTGTAGAGTTTATTTACAGCAGTTTATTTAGAGCAGTAGGCTCTGACTGTAGTAAACAAATGATTTAAAATGTAGGCTTGATAACCCCACAAAAGTTCGAAATCATGAAATTTACCAGAAGTGGGAATTAAAAGCGATGAGGTCCTCTAAGCCTAAATGTTACAAATCTAAATCTGGTGAGTTAAATAACTAGTCTTGGGGTAATTGAAGGTACATCAATGCTCTGAAAACTTTGATAAATTTAAATACATTGGCCCATGGAAAACCAAAGACATAGAACCGGAGGTTAAAATCCGAGTTTGAATTGAATACTCAAGAATTCCATTCGTTAAAACAAAACACGTTTTAACTTATACAACTCCTTCACTGGATACTAGGTATAAATTCGTAAACACATAGATATATTCTGTTTTCTTATATGGGGCAGAGGCATGAACAATTATCCCAAACAGCGTAAAAGCTGTTATCCAGTGCATGGATACCGGGGAAGACATTATGAGCTCTTAAAGTTGTTGATGGAGGGGTTGTTAATTGTAGGAAACAGGCATCCAGGTAAGAGGAAATATTCATGATTAAAAAAGACCAAAGAGTGGAAGTGTCTCAATACTAATTATTTATTGACAGCCTCGCAAGATAGAGAAAGATTTGCCAAAAATGGTTGCAGATTGTTAGAAATTAAAACAATATTCTAAAAGGAAGATTAATAATGATCCAGAACTCATAATTCGTTTAAAATATGTTTATTATACGACTAATTTCAGCATCAACGCTTTGCACTGCATTTTTAGGCCAATATAAAAAAATTCACGAATATCGGTACGAGATGGTGTTATTTTTAGAAGTTAAATTAACCGGTACATTTGTGTTGCTTTCTGTTCAATAGACTTACAATCCAAAATCCCTGCGGTGTCTGTCTCCCATCGGGCGCGTCCCCAGGTGGTTGATAGGGAAATGCCCTAACCGATCCTAGGACTGGCGGGTAGGTGGGAAATAAAATCTCACCCACGAACTAAAACAGACTATTGCAATCATAACAGAAAAGTCTCTGGCACTCCAGGATGGAAGTTGGGTTAAAGGCACACAATCTTTTCCTGTAACAAATCATATGTTACGAAACCTCAGGAACTATAAGCTAGACGGAACTTACGACTACAACTCTGCAAACGAAAAATAAAATTAATAAGAACATGGAATAGCGGAATTCTGTACCGAATTGGAGCACTCACATCCTTACTAGACATAGCAAACACGACTCTTGACAATAGAACCCATTCCATATTTTATAGCTGGAATACAAGTCACCACACAACAGAAGACCTTATTATTGACTTTAAATCCTACAATCAAAAAGTGTGATATTTGCGCTTAAAAAGAAAATTTTTCAATTACCGTTTGAACAAAGCACATGCCCGGACTGCGTCCCAGACGAAACCCAGAAGAAATCATGAACAGTTCTTCGAAGACCTAGTGTAAGCCTATAGAATATGTCCCAGAAATGACGTTAAGATTGTGTTGGGTTACATGAATGCTAGAATAGGAAAAGAGAGAGTTTTCATGCTCATTAAAACCATAGGCACAGCCTACACAACATCAGTAGCAATAATGGATTACAACTGATAAATTTAGCAGCTGCACTAAACATGACAAATTTAAACAAATAAATATACACACATCTTAATATACTTAAGACCTGGAATGGACGTAATAATTAGCAGAAGTTATAGAGGCGCAAACGTAGACCCAGATCATTGCCTAGTGATCTTAATATTAAGAGCTATAACTCCAAACGTCAGCAATAAAAATAGAATGGATATAATGAAATTAACAAGCTAACGAATCAAAGTGTAAATGAAGAAGTCCAGCAAGATATAGACTCCTACTTGATCAGAATAAAGGAAGATGAAGTAAGCAGCGAAAGATAAAATAGGAACAGAAAATTGTAATCGAAAGAATAGTTTGGTTTGACGATGAATGTAAGAATGCAACGAAAGAAAAAAATGAAGCATACAGAAATATGCTTACCCGAACTAGAAGAACTGTAGAGAATTACCAGCGAAATCCGTTAGCCAGCGAAATCCCTGTGAGCAAAACATCACTAGACATACGATGAAAATGAAGAATCCATATAAAGTGGCTACATGGAATCTAACAACTTTATATAAAGTGAAAAATTTGTGATCACGAACAACAGTGCAAAGAATGGGAGAGATACATCACTGACCTTTTTGACGATGCTTCTTGAGAAAATGCTTCAAATACTGCCTGTGACAACCAGTTAGACAGAGGTCCCAGTATATTGAATTCGGAAGTCAAAAAGGCAATACAGCAAGCCAAAAACAATAAAGCACCTGGACCAGATCAAATCCATGCTGAGCTACTTATACTTTTGGATGAGGAAAGCATTGCCTGCTTAACCACTTTCTTCAACAAAATTTACAACGAAGGAAAAATACCAGATGATTGGTTAGAGTCACTGTTTATAACATTACCAAAGAAAAGCAGGCCCACCAAATGCAGCGATTTTAGACTAATCAGTTTGATGCGTCACACACTGAAGATACTCTTACGAATTATACAAAACCGAGTATTCTTTCTATGCGAAAGTAGGATGGGTAATAAGCAATTTGGATTTAGAAACGATCTAGGAACTAGAGAGGCACTATTCTGTATGCGCGTTCTATTACAAAAAAGTTGTGAATTCCGAAAGAATGTTTATGTTTGTCGACAGAGTACAACACGATACACTTTTCGATTGCCTACGGGCAGCAGGACTTGACCACTATGATATAAGACTGCTGAAATACTTATATTACAATCAAGTAGCCTCTATCCAAACTGGAGACAGTCCGAGTAAAAAAATATCCATCAAACGTGGAGTACAGCAGGGTTGTGTTTTGTCACCCACTCTTTTTAATCTGTACTCTGAAGAAATCTTTAGGGAGGCTCTGGATGACAGACAAGAGGGAGTAAGACTAGGTGGAGAAGTAATCAACTGATCATCAGTTCCACGTTGTTCTCCGAGTGCAGAGGTTCCCTCTCACCCGGCTCTGGAACCCAATTGGCCATGTGTTACCTATAGTCAAATTTAATTTAATATTGAACATCACAGTTATTTTATAACACAATGTACAACATTTCATAACTAAATGTAATTTAAAGGGTTTTTTACCCTAATATTTTGGTGGCTCAGGCATTATGACCTAGCATTTTCGATTTTAATAACCTGATGATGGACTGTGTGGTCCGAAAAACGTTTGTTTTATTGATGTGGCCCTTTTAAGGGTTTTTTAAATAAATATACCCATTTACAAAGATTAACCTCTTTTTGTTATACGTGGTATACAGCCAGCTACAGGAATTTTTCCTTGTGGATTTTTTTTTTAAATCTAGTAGGTGAAGCAAGTTATCGGAGAGGCCTTAAAATCAACATTTCAAAGACAAAGTGGATGGAAGTTGGAAAGATCAATATAGATCAAGGTCTGATTTCTCTTAATGGAGAGATCGAAAGGTAAATCATTTAAAATACCTTGGCAGCTGGTTAAATGTAAATTGTGACTCTGATGAAGAGATAATAACCAGGATCGAAATATCACGCAAGGCTTTTATGACGTGGAAACCAGTTTTATGCAACAGAAACCTGTCGATGAATATTCGTAAGAAGGTTCTGAAATGTTATGTGTGGTCCATCCTATTGTATGGTTGTGAGACATGACGTTAAAAACCACAATGCTAAACAAGTGAGAAGCATTCGAATTGTGGTGCTATAGACGAATCCTAAAAATATTGTGGGTTTCGCACACTTCTAATGAAGATGTTCTTCAAATGATCAATTTAGAACGTCTGCTCATAAACACCATAAAGAGGAGAAAAACAGAATACTTCAACCATATAATTAGAGGTCCTAAATACCATCTACTTCGCCTTATAATACAAGGAAAAGTGGAAGAAAAGAAATAGATTGGTCGAAATAAACTTCCATGGCTACGTAATATTAGACAATGGTGTGGTTCCACAGTAGAAGAATTATTTCGCGCAGCAGCCGACAGAGAATGGTTTCAGGAAATTGTAAACATGATGACGGCCAACGTCTAAATACGGACACGGCACCCAAAGAAGAGAATTAACAGATAAAGAGAAGAGAAGAAAACGGGATACACAAAAGAAAAAAATGTAACCACTAGTTTTCTTTACGTTGAGTTTTTATTCATACCGTATCTATCGGTACGTAAACAGTTTAAGTTACCTATATGAATGCTTCTTCCACTTGTTGGTTTTTATTTCTGACTACGTTAAGTAGTTAAGTTACTAACAGCTCTACTATGTTTTTAAAAAAGCAACTAATAAGTGTGTAAATATTGTGATGAATAAGAATTGTTCAAAAAGAAGTAAAATTCCAAACACGAAAGACGATTATTTGTTAATTCTAATGCTAGGTATATAGAAGCATCCGATTTTATTATAATATATGTTAAAATAGTATATACAAACCAATCAATCCCCTTTTGTCTTTAAATGGCATCTTCTCGGTAACAACAATCATTCTTTTTTCTACTAGACCTAGAATTTCATCTCTTGGGCAAGTGTAGTTAATATTAGGTGGAATTAAACCAGTTTCGAATGCTATTATGCTCTAAAATAAACAAATAAGTGATTGTTAATATTGATATCATCGTTTAATCTTGTTCATTATACATATATTACATCTGGCAATAGGATGAAGTTGAAAAATAATGATCGAAATAATTCAGTGATACAAAAACATGTTAACTTTAATATTTTTCAATATCTATATTGACAAAGCGATGTTCTCTTAGAAGACGATCGGATGGAGTGTCCCTTGTGTTTTGGTTGACATGTATTTCATCTGTCATGTTCATGTTAAAATCATTACATATCTAGGATATAGGTAAGAGAGAGACAGAAGATATATTTTCTGTCTTTCTCTCTCGAGATTAAAAATGTTCCTTTTTTAAATATATTTAATGTTTATTAATATTATTTTTTTTAAAATTTTTTTTTGGTCAGATAGCCAAGCGGGCTGGGTGGTCGGTTTCTCACTCGCTTTACTGCGAGTAGTTCAGTGGAAGTGAGTTCGATCCCCAGCGCAGCAGTTTAAAATTCTAAATGAATCTGCCGCTTAGACTAGAATAGGCTGGTGTCTGATCGGCCTATGATGGAGCAGTACGGCAAGAGATAAGAGCTTGCGGCTCGCTGATACTCCTCCATAGATCACTACTGAAAGAGCGTGAATAGCAGGTATATATATTATTATTAATTTATTAATATTATTATCATGAAATATTAAATACATGCGTAAGTTATGTATATTGTCATTTTTAAAAATAGCATTACATATGTAATGATTGTGCAGATTGACTCCCATATAAATTTGTAATGGCGAACGCGTGTATAGAAGTATAACTTCTACCGGCAGTCCCACTGGACTGCCACACCCGCTTTTTTCCTATTGCTTACATTACCTGAGTGGACTCTATTTATTTTATGTCCTCATCATATTGAATATTATTATAACCGTAAACATTAAAATTAGTACTTACTTTTGTTATTGAACAGAAACCCGACGAAGGTTCAGAATGACCAAGGTTTGATTTAACAGAACCAATAAGAAGAGGATCTTTTCTACATTTGGCAAGGACGTCGTCAATTGCTGCACCTTCTTCTGGATCACCAACAAAAGTACCTAAAAGATTTTTAAATACACTAAAATTATTTATTTTATTTAAACATTACCTATATATATATATATATATATATATATATATATATATATATATATATATATATATATATCGCACCCTCAGTGCAAGACTGCAGTAACTCAAAATTTTATGAAAATGAAGTAATCATGGAATTCGATTGTAAAAATGCATACCTATCCCCTGTAAAACTTTAGTAACTTTCAAATGCTTAACCGGCTAAATATTACAACAACAACAGTTTAACGATTTTACGTTTTTGTACATAAGTTCCGTGCAAAACTGTTGTAACTCTAATGTAAGAGTTACAACAGTTTTACATGGAACATTGCAATGGTTTTGATAACAACCAATGAAAAGCACGAAAAAAGTAAGATATTTCTTATTTTAATATCTATATAATAGACAATACATTGAGACAATAAACAAATATTTACGATTTGCCAATTTATTCATGTAAGATTTATATCCTTTGTGTGACATTATATTTGACATTTGACCATGTATTTATTAGATTGGATTAAAAACACATGAATTAAGACTAATTATTTACAGCCAAAAACTATTTTTTCTTATGAAAAAAAAAAAACAGTTATCTTAAAACTTGTTTATTAACAATACTGATTGGTTAAAAATATCTATTCTTAGAAAACTTATTCGATAAAAACTAAATCTCATTGTCTTATCATATTGTCCCCCCGTAACTTTTACTAAGGTACTGAATTTTTATCCTTTTGTTAATCACTGTACTCAAGGTAGCCTGATTTGCATATTTTTATTAGTCCTTTTGTTTTACATTTAAATAAAAGTTTTACAAATAATTTTTCTACCCTATTATGACATTGCCATTACAAAGCCAAGGAATTGTGGCTATCAGAAACATGTGCAGACATAAAAAGATTAAATTGCCGCTAGCGATAAGCCGTTTTATTAGGTACTTATTTATTCTAGGTAGCTATCTGATTTCTTGGAAATGTAAAGTTTAATACCATACTAAACCCCGATTGCTGTTAAGGATTATTTTTTCTTTACTTACCCGATGATCTATTGCCATTCGGGTATGATACCAGAAGCCCAACATAGTTTTTATAAAAATATTTTGGCCCAAGATGATATACGAGAAAAGGACAACAACTAACAGAAAATGTGTCTACACTTTTTACAGTTTTCTCCGTGCAAAAGTTTTGTAACTTTAAAATTCTAATACTAAATGTGTAGTGATTAACAATTTTCTCGTTGCAAAAGTGTTGTAACTTTGAAATTCCTATTTACAAGTGAAAATCCCACATCCCTAATATCAAGCATTTGCTAGTACAACAAATTATAGGCCCATCATTAGGTTTATCGTGGAAATATAAATTATATTATATTTGTTAATATCATTTGAAAGTGAAACTTCAACCTGTCAACGTTTCAAAACAAAGCCTATTAAATTAATATAACTAAATAAGGTCATACTTCTAAAAACGTTACAATTGATTGTGATTTTGTTTTGTATGACCCCAGTATATGTGTGTATACAAAAATTATTAAATTTAATATTATAACGTTAGATAAACTATTATAACCTTAGTAGACAACACACCTAACAATCGCATCAGTAATACAAATCGAAAATAAAAGTACGATCATATCCAGAGGCGATCCCCGCTGCCTTGCGGTAGACACATATCGATAATAAATGTTAATGACTCTCTTAGATCTCTGATCAGACTATACATAATCAATAGCCTATATACAAACACAAACTGTCTGTCAAGAGTGCCAAGCTGTTCAAATGAGATCGTTAAGTTATTTTATGTAATTTATTATTATATATGATATGTATGTATCTATTTTTATGTCACACTATTTATTAACCCCCTATGCATTACACCAGGAGCGACAACTGTTGAATGCGACTTCAACATTAAAACTTACCTGTTCCGTGCGCTTCAAGGAAGCTGACATCAGATGGATTAACATTGCAGTCATTATAAACCTCTCTCATTAATTGCCGTTGTACTTCACCAGATGGATACGTGATTCCTGCTTCCTTATAACCATCGCAATTAGTTTTTATGTAAACAATGTCTGCATATCTTCTTTTAGCCTCTTTACTCTTTTGGAGGATGATCACACCTACAGTCTCAGCTCTAGCGTATCCGTTACCAGTTTTATCAAAAACTTTACATAAGCCATCCGGACTTAAGACTCCTAACCTGAAAATAATTTTAAAATGTTGTTATAAAATCATTGTTAAAAGTTTCTTTCAAATTTGTCCTAAAACCCATGAAACTTAAATAAGGAAGCTTCTAAAATAGAATCACGTCTACTGACCTAAGTACAACAGTTGTCATGATATGTCTACATATCAAACAGACCGTTAAATAAAAGACTTAGGGAAAATGTTTATTACTTACTATTATGTTCTGCATGAAAGCCCCATCAGAGGATAAAAATATATATTGTATTTAAGTAAATTCGTAAAAAATAGAAAAGCTTTTTGGTCTGAGAAACATTGTTCAATAATTTTTTTTTTATTTGAGATCAATATGAGAAAACCTAGCTTAACTAACAAAATCTCAATATCAAGTTTCACTCTTTGGCGATCTTAGTTGTGCTCTCTTGATTTAGTATAGTGGTTTCCAACCTTTTTCCCTCGAGGACCACAAGATCTATAAGAAAACGTCTGCGGACCACATGATTTTATAACTAGGTAAATTAAATTGAGAACTAGAGAAATATATTTTAAATCCTTTAATATACATTGTATTAAGAGTAAGTAATTAGAAAAAAAACATAGTTATAGTCTTAATATAGTTATAGAAACATTATAAATCTATTGTAAAACGCTTACAAAATATGACACTAAGTCTCTCAGTGACTTCCTTGGTTTTGCATTTTACTGGCAAGATCTTCGATATTTGGCTTCAAAGAGGTCAAACTCAACCTGAATGGAGCATCCAATTTCAACAAACTGTTACGATGCTTATTCTTAATAACATTTAGTGTTGAAAATGTTGTTTCACAAAGATATGTAGAATTGAAAGGAAGTAGAATTTTCAAGGCTTTTTGGCTGAGGGTTTGGTACTCATCAAGTAACTTGATCCAAAAGCGTGCAATATTGTCACATTGTATTTTGACAACTTCAAGCTGAGAATCAGAAGAGATCTCAATAAGTTCTTTCTGTTCATTAAGTGTAAGATCAATATCCTTGAGTGGTAAAAAAGGATGTGCCAGCCACAAGTTTTTAGAACAGACGTCAGAACTGGCAGGGAAATAGTTGTCAAAATACCCATGAAGCGATGCTATGTAAGCCTTTACCAAAGATGACAGCTGTTCTTTATTTATATTCGTACCTTCCGTTTCTATTATAAATTCAGAAAACAGATTAAACATAGCAAAAGATCCTTTCTCTACTTCAGTTTGCCATAACTTTAACTTTTGTTTGAATGCCGCAATTTTTTTCCACAGATCGAAAACTGTGTGTGAAGGCCCTTGAAGACCAATATTTAGCACATTTATAATTTCAAATATATCAGTTAAAAAAGCAAGTTTAGCCACCCATTGTCCATCCCGAAACACAGCCGCTAGTTCTGGATTGTGTTTGTCAAGGAACATACAAACCTCCTCTCTACGTTCATAAAATCTGGCCAATACACGCCCTCGGGATAACCATCGTACTTCAGTGTGGAGGAGAAGTTTGGAATGAATCGAGCCCATATCATCACAAAGCGTAGCAAACAATCTTGAATTAAAAGCTTTGCTCCGGATTAAATTCACAGCCTTTACAACTGTAAGGAGGAGTTCATTGAGTTCAGGACTCAACTGTTTGGTTGCTAGCATTTCTCTGTGAATAATGCAGTGTAAATTAATTACTAATAAACTGGGAATAAGCCACAATTAAAGATAAAAATACGTTTATTGACGTTTCAATTATCAATTTACTGTTTGTATTTTGAGAACGATTTCCGAAGTGGAAATTGAAACGTCAATAAACGTATTTTTTATCTTTAATTGTGGCTTATTCCCAGTTTATTAGTAATTAATTTACAATGCCACAAGAAAATAGCTTCAGAACAATAATAATGCAGTGTGTTATTTATACTCCGGTTCCCGCTTCTTTCAGTACAAAACTTTTAAGGCCTTGTTTGGAGCCTGTCATAGTAGCCGCGCCGTCAGTACACAATCCAACACAGTCTTTCCAAGATAGTATATGCAACTTTAAATACCCATCAACAGCATTAAAAATGTCCCGACCTTTTGTATGACCTGGCAGTTCTATAGATCTCATGTATTCTTCATTTAATTTCTTTTCTTCATGATCAATGTATTTTACATACACCAGTAAAATTGCTTTATTTGTAACATCGGTAGACTCATCTAATTGCAAAGAAAACAACTTAGATTGGTGAAGCTTTATTATGAGTTGGTTTTCAACATCTGCTGCCATCGATTCAACTCTTTTAGTAACTGTATTATTTGATAGAGATATGTTTTTGATTTTTTTAGCTGACTCTTCACCAAGTACTTCTTTAGTAGCTTCAAAAATACAGGGTAAAATTAAATCTTCTCCTATTGTAAATGGTTTTTTGCTTTTGCTATTTTTAATGAAATTAAAAAAGGTGCTTTTAAAGCAGCCTTATCCTGAGAAGAATACTGTTTCATTACTTGTTTTGCATTTGAAAAAATCCAATGGTTTTTGAACAAGCTCTTTGTGTTTTGTCTCAAAATGACGCATGAGTTTGGCCGGTTTCATAGCTTCATTGCATAAAACCTCTGAACATACAACACACTGAGGCAAATGAACATCTCCATCTTCTTTAAAAGTAAATCCATATTTTAAGTATTCTGGACTGTACTTACGATTGGCTAGTTTTCTACTTTTAGGTTCACTTGAAACAAACCTGTCACTAACATTCGTACTAGCACTAGGTCCGGGGTCACTTTCATCATGTGCTCTTTTTAAAAACTTAAACAAATTCACTTGTTTACTCATTGCAGTCTCTCACTCTGTATATGCGGTACGTGACACTAGATACTACGACAGACAAATGGCCATGGAACTCAGGAGAAGGTAGACAACGCTGAGCGAGGGTGCGGCTACACCTAAATTCTCCCTCACTTAGCATGCCCCTTCAGTAAACTTCGAACATACAAAACTTTGACGTTATTGGAAAAATAGCAGCAATTAAAGAAGTAGAAAATGGAACGAGGAAAAATCTGAGACTACCAAGGACTTTGTAATTCCTCCTAACACATGATAATTCACACCTACTTCTTCAAGTAGAGGGATATACATACTTGAAGAATAAAAAAAAACCTGAAGTGAGTGCGGTAAAGAATGATAAAGGTTAAGAAGACAAAAAATCCAAATGTGTTTTAAAATGGTGTGAACATGATAAGGATAAGGAGATTCCCGTGGGTGGTCGCCTTATAAAAACAAAGCTGCACAATTTGTTGTTGAAATGGGGAAAAACAACTTTAAATAGAGTACAGGGTGGCTAGACAGCTTCAAAGAACGCAACAAAATTTTATTCAAATCCATTTGTGGAGAAAGTGAGGCTGTTAATGAACAAGAAGCCAACAAATGGAAAAAAAAACTGGAGGAGATGATTCAGGATGTAGATGAAAGAGATATCTTCAATTTTGACGAGACAGGTCTTTTTTTAATGCACTCCTGTCAAAACACTGGCATTTAAAAATGAAAAATATCACGGAGGAAAACTAAACAAAAAAAGAGTCACTCTCCTAATTAGTGCAAACATGGACGGATCAGAAGTGGTACCTCTACTGATGATTGGTAAGTCGGCTATTCCGTGTTGTTTTAAGAACGTCAAGTCAAAACCAGTGGAATATGTGAGCAGCGCAAGAGCTTGGATGACTAGGGGTCTTTTCGAGAAATGGCTGATGAAATTTGACACAAATTTCATCAGAGAAAAGTTAGTTTTTTTATTGACAACTGTACGGCCTAGAACACTATCCCATTAATGGAAAATTGTTATCGTATTGTATGTGTGTATTCGTATTAGTTATTGTTTTCCTGCCAATATGACTTCAGTTCTTCAGCCTATTGGACCAGGGCATTTTTCAAGCCACTCGAATGTGTAAGAAAGCTTGGGGGCAAGTAACACAACCGAAACGACCAAACACTGTTTCAAAAAAGCTGGTTTCGTAAAAAAGGAGGAGAACGCAGAAAACTCTAACGACACTTTAACAAAAGAGCTGCTTTCAGTTGACGGCTGGCAGGACGTCATTTCTGATCCTGCCATCTCTTATAAAGATTTTGTCAACGTGGATGAATATTTTGCAGTGCAGCCGAAGCAACGAACCATATTACACAACTTAGACGGTACTTTGAAAGTAAAAATGATATAAGTGACTCTATTTTTAGTTCACCTTAGAATTCATTGCCATTGTCATACCGAGAAGCTGAATTCTAAAAAGCAGCTAAAAATTTCGGATTTATTTGGAAAAAGTTAAACTCTTTAATAGTTAAAAATTGTCTTTTTTGTTAATTGTAACAAATGTTCTTATTTTCAATAAATTGAAGCGTTTATTTAAAAAACTACACATATCCATATTTCTAAAATTTGACTTTATATGTTGTTTGCATAGAAAAGTAGTTTCTTTATCGATCTCACACATTCAGTTGTATAAAGATCTCAGATATCCAGAGTAAACTACATAAAAAATTCGATAGTTTTAGAAAAACTACAGATGTCCATGCGGTTTGTTGTAAAAGCAACACTTGTCACATCTTAGTCAACAGTCCTCTTTAAGCCTGAATGGTCTTGTCTATAAATTTATCAGTTGTGTGAGTTCTGTGCTAATAACAGGTATTTGTTTCTTTTGCATTAGAAAAATAGTTCAGCATGGCGGAAACTGTTCCACACAATATCTCTAATATTATTGATTCGACTAAAATTATCAACCTCGAAAACGTAAAAGAAAAGTTTATCGAAGGGAAACCATAAATTAACTAGAGTTGCTTACAAAACCCATAAAGGTGATAAGGATGTTTTAGCTCAAACAACAGAAAATAACTGTAGGTAAGTTTTTCGATAATAACAAGTTGTTTTCTCAATGTTTATGATTTCAATCTTGGTTGTAGGTGTAAAAGTTGCTGATACTTTGATGTAATAACACAAGTACAAGGTTCTGATTTACTGAATATTTTTAATAATATGAAGACCAAAGATGGGCAGGATTCATATTTATCATGCAGGATTAGTGTTACTTTTATCCAGAGGCGACGCAGTCGTATTCCACAAGCTGCTTTACCTAGCCACAGTTCTACTAGTGACAATGGGAATAAAGATGCAAACAGAGCTGGACATCAACAAGGTCTATCACATGTAGCTTTTTGTATGTGTAAAATTTGACTACCGGAAAAAACGTAAGTTTTTGTGCCAAAGCTCTTCGTAGTGTCTTCGGTTTTACTGAAATGCAGATCTGTTGAATTAGAAATACCTTAGCAATGAGTGGATGTTCTCCAAAAGATACCCGGAGCAATCATACAAATAGTCCTAAGAAGACACACCCTGCTGATATAGAAAACATACTAGTTTACATTTATTCATTCAAAAGCCGCCAAATACATGGAAACTGGACAAAAAGAAAATTTATCTACCATCAGAGTTAATTGTAAAAAATAGGTACAGAGCCTTTAAAGAGCTTCACCCACAGTGTAAGGTGCGTTATTTTGTTTATTATAATATATTTAAAACTCGATTTAACATATCTTTTTCTTACCCCAGATTTGATACTTGTACATTATGTGATGAAACTGAAATTCAACTCAATCTACGGAATATTGATGAATCAACAAAAACGGAACTGCTTTAAGTGAGAAACCTTCATCATGCTAAAGCAAAGGCATTTTATGATATAAAACAAAAATTTAACATAAATGTCAGCATATTTGACTACAAATAAAGCGTTCTACAGCAGACAACTTTGGTACTATGTATTTGGTGTACACGACATCGGACGCAATGATGTCCATGTGTATACCTATTACGAAGGAATTGCTAAACGGGGTCAAAATGAAGTAACTTGCATGATATTCCATTATCTAAAATATCATATACCTGGTAATATGGATGAAATATGGTTTTTCTCTAAAATTTGGCCGGGTCAGAACAAAAACTACATCTTTATTCGTTTTTCATATATTCTGGTGCATGTACTGAAATTAGCATCAGAGATAATATACCTACGTACACCCAATATGAAGACATTCATACCTACCTTGGGATAGTGACTTTAGTCTCATTTCATGTGCAAAAAAAGTAGTTGTTGATGTTCTAGAAGAATGTGATGATTTTATTTGGCAGTCAAGGTCTAAACCTTCTCCATTTAAAGTGGTTAATGCTGGAACAGAAACTGACTGGTTTGTTATGGGCAAAAGTTTTAGGGATTTATTTTTAATGAATCCAAAACCAAAAATTTCCTTAAACCAGCAATAATGTACCGAATATCTAAGAAGTATCTTGCACAAGTTTTAATACGTCAAAGTTATCATGACCCATGGACGTTTCACATCATTACTGGAAAAACAACACCAAAACAAATAAATCTAATACCAAATGAAGCGAAAAATAAAATAAGTCAACCAAAGTTAAGCGACCTAATGGAGTTAACTAAATATCTCAAGAATCCTCTTAATAAAGAATATTATCTTAATCTAGAACCAGAATATGGGGAAACCAAAGACCATACTCAAGTAGTAAAACCGTTTAGCGATAATAATAGCAGTGGTGTCGAATAAACATCATATATGTTTTTGTTATTTCTACGAGAATATTATAATATGTTCATTTTCTAATATATTTTTCCATGTTTCTACCGATTTTTGTTAAAAATATCGATAAAAATATGAAATCAACTTGTACAATTATTTTGAGATCCACATTCCTTCTACTGAATATCTTAGTAAAAGTAAGGTTTGAAATAAATTAAAGCTCAGCAGTTTTTCTTGATTTACCAAAATTTTACTTTTTGGACAAGTGTTGTTTTTCAAATAAACGCTTAAATTTTTTGGGACAAAATGATTTTTATTGTTTTAATGACACGTTCTCACTGTGCGGTTTTTATCGACCAAGATTGGCCGAAAATAACAATGAGAACACCTGCCATAATTACAATAATTGGCCATTTTTATAGCTTGTAAATGGTTTAATTGGTATTCTTGGCCGAATTTTGTTAGTCCATTTTTTTCGATTGACAAAATTCGGGTAAGCTTAGGAACGAAAACATCTGCAAAAGTGTTGAATTTTATCGTTTGCAGATGCTTTTGTAAGTATCATTGCTTTTTGTAGAATTTTGGATAATTCGAATTTTTGGATAATTCGAATTTTTTTAGCGGTCCCCTGAGATTCGAATTATCCAAGTTTCACTGTATTATTAAATTCCTTCCTCTCATTCTACTGAATTTTTGACCTATCACTTTATTCATGAAATAGTCTAATAAAATACCACTCGTGATTTAATTTAGCTTATAAGTCTGTCTTTTATTTCTAAACCCAATTGAGTTTCTTACAGAAAACACCACTCGTCCTACGGACTCGTGGTGTTTTCAAGCAACTCAGTTTCGTTTAGAAGTAAATCGACAGACTTATCGCGAAAATTGAATGACTAGTGGTATTACTATTGATAATTGTCTTATTTTTAAAATTAGAAGAAATTATTAATTTTTGTTTTACAAATGAAATATATTAGTAAAAAATTAAAAGAAACGCAGAAGAGTTGCAGAAGAGTTATATAATAATCATGAATGTGTTGCTTGTGTGAGTCCATATCAAATAGGTAAAGAAATAATAATAAGACTTACTCACAATCAATTTAATTTAACAATCGGACATAAAAGTCTATATAAAATAAAAAGTCTATATAAAGAGTATATAAAAAGTATATAAAATTATTACAAATTAAGACAATCCGGGACAAATTAAACACACATTAACAGGAACAGAAACACTAAATGACGGGACAAACATTGAATTTAAAACTTAAACTTGGGGAATGGAAGAAACTGCAAGCACTACATCTCAGTGTTGGAAGTAATGAGTTTTTTTATATTTAATCTAATAATAAATTAAATAATTTAATTAAACTTAATTTAATAATAAAAAAAAACTCATTACTTCCAACACTGAGATGTAGTGCTTGCAGTTTCTTCCATTCCCCAAGTTTAAGTTTTAAATTCAATGTTTGTCCCGTCATTTAGTGTTTCTGTTCCTGTTAATGTGTGTTTAATTTGTCTCGGATTGTCTTAATTTGTAATAATTTTATATACTTTTTATATACTTGACTTTACAATAATTGATTAATTTTGCCAATAGACTTGATAATTACAAGTCAAAATAATTTCACAACCACACAATCGGTACAGCTACTCTTATTCATTGTCATAAAACTGTCTCCTTCATAACATAAATACTCAATAAATAACACACATTCCAAAAATATATCTCTGATATAAGTGTAAATAATTTAGATAATACAATAGTAAAGAACATCACTTTCATTTGACAAACAACCACAATATACCTATCTCTAATTCATTGGATCAAATCTTTTCTCCTCAAGAACTTCCCGTTTATTGTCAAAACAACTGCAATAGCACATTAAAGTTCTCCAATCAACAATACATGATTTTTGCAACCATGACCTACCATCCATCAATTAATAGAGTTCCGGCATGTAAGTAATGTTTGTTTTGTTTTATTTATCTGCTCATTTATTAATTTATTACAATATAATATTACTACTTTATACCAATTGTGGGTCTTACCTTGTCTGTTAATACCTTTTATATATTCAAATTTATTCATTTTGAAAACCACAGACATGTAATATAGGCATAATTACTATAATTTGTATGAACTAACTTATTTGTTTATTTTATCTTTATTAGACACCACCCTAATTGGGTTTATTTTATTGCAGCATTAGTTTAACTTTGTATCTAGACCTGAAGATGCTTTGCAAATTGTAGAAAGTGAAACCGGTCGTCTGATTGTTAAATTAAATTGATTGTGAGTAAGTCTTATTATTATTTCTTTACCTAGTTATATAATAATGTAAAAATGTGTTTTAGTTACCTTGCAAATTGTATAGTAATATTGGGATGTAAAATCAAATTGGCTGCACACAGAATAGCCCTATCCACTAATCCCAATCTTAAATCTCTATATGCATTTTCTAAAGCAAACAACGAACTGCTACAAGCTGTATCTGCTAGAATTGCAGGACCCTTAAGCTTCAAGAAATAACTTATCCTTTGAGCAAAAGTCGCTCGCATGCATCTGGAAAATATTATTTTTATAATAAAAGAATAACGAAAATAATAAAAATGAAATAGTTGAGAATTTGTTATAATGTAAGGTCAGTAGGGGTGATGGAGGACACTTACCTAAATTTCAAATATATTAAGATATAATTGATGGATTCGACCGTTACTTGATGGAAATTCATTTTATGTAACAATAAAACACTGAAAACTTTGTTTTCAAACTTCCACAAAATTTATTTTAAATATTATCACTACAGCTGTTTCGGCTGATTGCCTTTCTCAAGTGATCTATTTTGGCTTGGGTTTACAAATTTATAGTCTCGAATGAAATAGGTTGAGGAGGGGAGAACTGTTTGTCTCAAGTTGGTCATTCAGAATTATATCTGTGTTTTTTAATTTGTTGATTTCTATAGATTCTAACAAAGATAACTTAAGGCCTTTATTTTGAATGTGAAGAATTTTAAATTTGTCATTAAAAGAATGATTATGATCTAGAAGGTGAAGTGCGTATGTCGAATCTGTTTTTCTATTCTTGAAAGCCCTTTTATGTTCTGCTATTCGTTTATCAAAGTTTCTACCAGTTTGACCGATGTAAGTTTGTGGGCAGTCGCCACATTGGAGTTTGTATACACCACTATTTAAGTGTTTTTTATTTTGGCTCTTGTTATTTTTAATATATTTGCCTAGGTTGTTATTTGTTCGGAAAGCTGGTGTTATTCCTTTCTTTTTTATGTGTTTGGCAATTTTTGTTGTTATTTTGCCTGTATATGTAATCGAGCAGAAGGTACTGGGTTTTTTCTCTGGTGGTGGAAATACTAATTTCAGGGCTTTCTTGTGTAGTTTTTGATTTAACATTTTATTAATTGTTTGTTCGTTGTATCCGTTGGTTACTGCTATTTGTTTAATTATATTTAATTCTGTCTCAAAGTTGTCTTTTGACATCGGAATTTCTGTTAATCTATGTAACATACTATGATAAGCGGCCAGTTTATGTTGTGTTGGATGGGATGACGAATTGTGTATAGTCGTGTCAGTATGGGTAGGTTTATGAAATATGGAGAAGTCATGTTTGTTTTGAAGTCTGCTAATTTTTAAATCTAAAAAATTTATGGATTGATTTTGTTCTGTTTCTATTGTAAATTGAATATGACTATGAACTGAATTAATATATGATAAAAATTGGTCGAGTTGCCTGTTAGTTCCTGTGAAACATACCAGTACGTCGTCTACGTATCTCCACCAATATAAAAACTGTTTGAATATGGGATGTTTTTAAATCTTTGTCTCTAAATGATCCATAAAAATATCTGATAACAATGGGCTTAGAGGATTACCCATTATAAGTCCTGCACTGTTATTTGTATATATTTTATTATTAAATTCAAAGTAGTCCTGGTTTATGCAAACTTCAAGAAGATGTAAAATTTCAGATGTAATTATTGGATTTGTGCTGTTTTGGTCTAAAAGGTTTTTTACTAGAATAAAAGTTTCTGTAGGAGGGATACTAGGAAAAAGATTTTTTACGTCAAATGAAATTAATCTGGAATTGTTAGGTAATTGAAAATGTTGTATTTTATTAACTAGTTCTATTGTATTTTTTATGGTAAATTTAGGTGAAAATTTAGTGTGTTCTAAAATAATCTCTAACAGTTTTTTTGAAATTTTATATGACAGAGCTGTATAAAAAGAAACTACAGGTCTTATTGGGTGATCCGGTTTGTGTAGTTTAATGAAAGAATATAATTTAGGAGGCTGTGGGTTCATAATATTGAGGTATTTCTGTTCTATTGGATTTAGTATTGATTTTGAATTTTCTAACGCTAGCTTAATTTGTTTTTGATATTTTTCTGTCGGATCTTTGTGTAAAGTTTCAATATTTTGATTATTTAAGAATTCTATTGTTTTGTTATTATATTCTATTTTATCTATAGCAATAGTAGTGTTACCTTTGTCTGCTTTTGTAAACACGATGTTGTTTTCTATTGATTTATTTTTAATTGAAATTGCTGTTTTATTCTCGTTGTAACAGGAATTCTTAGTTTCACTACACACATCTCTAATAGATTTGGCAATTATACTTTTTTCGATATTGTTAGCAGTTTTGTTTAACGCTACTTCACATTCTACACCTAAATATTCTAAAGTTCTCTCATTATTATGTTGGGGCAAGTTGTGTTTAAATCCTTTCTCTAAAAGTTGTATCTCGCTGTTACTAAATTTAGTATCTGTTAAATTTATAAATCTATTGAAAAAAGTATGGTTCGAAAAACTTTTTGTATAATGAATATTGGGTTTTTTACTATTGGAAATTAGATTATTTAGTTTTTTACACTGTGTATTGAATTTTTTATCTATTATATTATCTATATTAATTCTCACGTTAGAATCTAGGATGTCAAATTCTATATTATTTAATCTATAATTTAATTCTGAATGACATACCTTAAGATAAACAGATATTATATCCATTTGTTGTATTGGTATTTTCTGTCTTGTTAAGCCATCTGGTCTGACCGTGATGAATCCCTTTTTGTGCAGCGGGGCTGTGTTTTTTGGTTTTTAACTGAATATACTTCGGGAACACTTTATTTTGTAAACACATATTTAAAAACCAGATGTTTTGTGTAACCTAAATTTACCATAAAAAATACAATAGAACTAGTTAATAAAATACAACATTTTCAATTACCTAACAATTCCAGATTAATTTCATTTGACGTAAAAAATCTTTTTCCTAGTATCCCTCCTACAGAAACTTTATTCTAGTAAAAAATCTTTTAGACCAAAACAGCACAAATCCAATAATTACATCTGAAATTTTACATCTTCTTGAAGTTTGCATAAACCAGGACTACTTTGAATTTAATAATAAAATATATACAAATAACAGTGCAGGACTTATAATGGGTAATCCTCTAAGCCCATTGTTATCAGATATTTTTATGGATCATTTAGAGACAAAGATTTCAAAACATCCCATATTCAAACAGTTTTTATATTGGTGGAGATACGTAGACGACGTACTGGTATGTTTCACAGGAACTAACAGGCAACTCGACCAATTTTTATCATATATTAATTCAGTTCATAGTCATATTCAATTTACAATAGAAACAGAACAAAATCAATCCATAAAAATTTTTTAGATTTAAAAATTAGCAGACTTCAAAACAAACATGACTTCTCCATATTTCATAAACCTTCCCATACTGAATTATAGTTTATTCGTCTTCCGGGTTTGGACCGTGTCATTTGTGAGTGACCCAAAAAATGACACGGTCCAAACCCGGAAGACGAATAAACTATAATTCTGACTCTGGCCGTGGAAGCCTACGATTTCATCTACCCATACTGACACGACTATACACAATTCGTCATCCCATCCAACACAACATAAACTGGCAGCTTATCATAGTATGTTACATAGATTAACAGAAATTCCGATGTCAAAAGACAACTTTGAGACAGAATTAAATATAATTAAACAAATAGCAGTAAACAACGGATACAACGAACAAACAATTAATAAAATGTTAAATCAAAAACTACACAAGAAAGCCCTGAAATTAGTATTTCCACCACCAGAGAAAAAAACCCAGTACCTTCTGCTCGATTACATATACAGGCAAAATAACAACAAAAATTGCCAAACACATAAAAAAGAAAGGAATAACACCAGCTTTCCGAACAAATAACAACCTAGGCAAATATATTAAAAATAACAAGAGCCAAAATAAAAAACACTTAAATAGTGGTGTATACAAACTCCAATGTGGCGACTGCCCAAAAACTTACATCGGTCAAACTGGTAGAAACTTTGATAAACGAATAGCAGAACATAAAAGGGCTTTCAAGAATAGAAAAACAGATTCGACATACGCACTTCACCTTCTAGATCATAATCATTCTTTTAATGACAAATTTAAAATTCTTCACATTCAAAATAAAGGCCTTAAGATATCTTTGTTAGAATCTATGGAAGTCAACAAATTAAAAAACACAGATATAATTCTGAATGACCAACTTGAGACAAACAGTTCTCCCCTCCTCAACCTATTTCATTCGAGACTATAAATTTGTAAACCCAAGCCAGAATAGATCACTTGAGAAAAGCAATCAGCCGAAACAGCTGTAGTGATAATATTTAAAATAAATTTTGTGGAAGTTTGAAAACAAAAGTTTTCAGTGTTTTATTGTTACATATTAAGATATTTTGGGAACAATTAGTATGATTAAATTTTTCGTATATTTTAATGTGATCGGGGAGAGATAATCCTTAAAGAAATGATGACTTTTAACATATATTTGTATAAAGCAAGTACTCTATATTTGTTTTAAGTCTTAAGTCAAATGTCCTCATTTGCCCCAATGTACGGGGTAAATAAAGATTGCAATTTTTTTTCCAATTTAACTCACCTATAAAATAAAATAGGTAAATGAAGACAAAAGCGTATCATTTAATGCATATAAAAAATAATAAAATCGATAATTTCTCTTACTAGTTTATTCAGAAATTAAACGGTACATTTCAACTAAGTAATTAACTAATACTTATACTTGGATATAAAGTTTACTATGCTGGAAACAACACAACACATCACAGAAACGGCACTGCAATAGTAGTTGCCCAACATATTAATTCGGCAGTAAAATCTTTCTCTCCCCATTCAGGTAGAATGATGCTTTTACAAATTCGAGCAACACCGGTGGATATTAACATATTACAGGTATACGCGCCAACGGCAGATAAAGATGAGGCAACCAGCGAAGAATCCTACGAACAACTGGGAAGCCTGATGAAAATGACAAAAAAACATGAAGTAACAATGATGATGGGGGATTTCAATGCAAAGGTTGGCAGAGGCAAGGTGAATGAGATTGTGGGAAACTTCGGCCTAGGGGAGAGCAACGATAGAGGTGATAGACTTATATGCTTCTGCCAGGAATATAATCTGCTGTTAAGTGATACACTCTTCAAGCTCCCCAAACGTCGACTTTACACAAGAAAATCCCCGCTGACTCACCTGACAACATCATTAGGAATCAGATAGATTATATAGCAGTACCAACAAGATATAAAAACATGATAAAATCATTAAAAACGTACCCAGGTGCCGATGTTCCTACGGACCACAATTTGTTGGTATGCAGAATGATCATGAGAGTAAAACGGCTCGAGAAAAGATCTAATTTAAACACAATCGATATTACAAAACTCACTAACCCAGAAACCGAAATAAAAGTGCGAGAACAACTAGGAAAGAAAATAAAGGACATTAACGAGAATACGTCGGACATAATAGAGAGATAGGATAAATCGAGGGAAACAATCCAAACAACATGCGCGACTCTATTAAAGCGTGACCGACAGAAGAATAAAGAATGGATGTCTGATGAGATAATGGATATGATGGATGAAAGACGTAAATTCAAGAGTAAAAATGCAGAAAAATACCAGCAGATCCACAAAACCATAAGAACGAAAATTCGAGAAGCCAAAGAAAAATGGTTTTCCAACGAATGCAGGAAAATAGGACAATACGAACGAAAATACGACAGTTACAATATGCACAAAAAATAAAATCGATGACAAACAAGAGGAAATTCAATAAGTCACCAAACAGCATAAAAGATAGCGATGGAAATCTTATCTCGGAGCCATCAACGGTCTTAAAAACATGGAAATCATACATAGAAAAATTATTTGCATTTGACAGGACTGATGATCACCTATATGGAGAAGGAGAAACAGGACCTTCAATCCTTAAATCGGAGATAAAAGATACCATTGCAGCACTAAAAAACAATAAGTCAGCAGGTCCGGACAATGTAAAATGCGATATATTAAAGAACCTATGTAAATAAGAGAAACAGTTCCTTGATAATCTAGTTGTACTTTTTAACAACATATATAATAGCGGTAAAATCCCGGAGAACTGGCTGCAGTCAACATTTATTACAATCCCGAAGAAACCAAATGCCCAGATTTGTGATGACTACCGGTTTATAAGCTTGATCAATCATGTCACTAGCGTTCACTAAGATCATTCATAGAAGAATATATGTGAGTCAAATATTGATAGATTGCAGTTTGGTTTTCGTAAAGCACTTGGAACTAGAGAAGCAATTTTCGCTCTCCAGGTGCTTATACAGCAGTGTAGAGACGTTAATAAGGACGTGTATTTGTGCTTTGTAGATTTTAGAAAAGCATTTGACAATGTCAATCATAAACAATTGCTATTGTATTCTGCGAAAGACAGGTATTGACGACAAGGACATTCGAATTGTGGCAAACCTATACCGGGATCAAACAGCAAGAGCAAAAATTGGCAACGAACTCACTGAAAGCGTGCAGATCAAAAGAGGTGTCCGTCAGGGGTGTATATTATCCCCACTCCTATTCAATATGTATTCCGAGGAAATATTTAACAAATGTATGGAAAATGCAAATGAGGGCATAAAAATAAACGGCGAGTTAACGAACAGTAGAAGATATGCCGACGACACGGTGATCCTTGCCAGTACCATAGACGAATTACAACAAGTAATGGAAAGACTTTATTCAGTTAGTGAGGAATACGGCCTAAGCCTCAATTTCAAGAAGACAATGTGGATGTTGATAAGCAAAAAGCAACAACCTGCTCGACAATTACGGATAAGTAACATACTAATTGACCATGTAGATTTCTTGGTCGCTGCTCGCTAAGTTTAAATACCTTGAAGCGCTTCTTGTTATTGGTCCTGTGCGCAGAGTGGGCGGGGTCTTCTTCGCTATTTTAATTTCTACGTTTTTCTGTAGAATTGGTTTCCACTTATTTGGGAGTCTTTGGGCATCGTCTCTGGTATTTAATTTTTTTGGATGTTTTTCGATCTTTATGGCTTTCCTGATTACATGTTTGGCCTTATTTTCGATGTTGGCTAGCATTATTGTTCCATTTAAGTCGATTTTGTGTCCCGTGTTGATGGTATGTTTTGCTAGAGATGAAGTTTTCTCTTTTCTTTCGATGGCGTTTCGATGTTCTTCGCATCTAACTTGTAGCCTTCGATTTGTCTGTCCGATGTACGATTTATCGCAGTCCTCACACGGGATTCTGTATACACCTTGATTTTCCAATGCAACTTTTGTTTTTGCCGATGGTAATATGGTTGCGATGTTTTTGTCGGTGTTGAAAATAGTTTCTATTTTGTTTTTATGTAACACTCTGCTGATTTTGTCTGTCGTACCCTTTATATAGGGCAGGATAGTTTTTCCGACTGGTTTTTTATGTTAGGTTCCAAATATTGTCATGGCAATATTAGGAACTATCTCATGTGGCAATATTAGGATCATTACTTCTGCGGAACAAAAATGGCGATTTAGTTTTATTCTATTTAATATTAATTACACACAATATGGATTAATAAAGTTCTTGAATGTACCGACCTGATAACGTTCTCACCGTTCTATAGTCATTATTGGCTAGCTTATAACAATCATTACAGTTTTCTCACGTTTTTATAAACAAATCGCACGAAATACATGCTGCTTTGTCGTGAACATCAATATTTACTGGTTCCACCTATAACGTTTTCAGAGTGGTTATTTTAATTCAATATTTGAGCTTACATCACCATCTGTGATTCAAGGGACAAATTAATAACTTTATGGGGAGTGGCAATATTAGGAGCATGGCAATATTTGGCGCACTTACCTTATATAAAGCGTTAGTTAAAAATTGCAATGTTCAAAGATATGCTTAAATCAACAAAAAAAAAATTGCCAACTATAACTATACCTATAACTATAATAGAACAATTTTGACAGTATTAATAATGTGGACAGGAATAAGGAAAGCTGAACTAAGCTGAAATAAGAAAGCTGAGCTGAGCAAGCTTTAGAATAGCTCGAGACAGAGACAGTTTCGCCATGTTAATCGCCAACGTCAAGGGGACTTGATAGGGCACGTTAAGAAGAAGAATTAATAATGTAATATAATGTAGCATTGTAACATACCCAGTAAAACCCTTCTTTGTGTCTGGCCCAAAATGTTCAACCAATATACTATATTCGGTTTCATTGCAACATGTACCAATATACACGCCTGTGTTAGTTCCTTCGAAGTCTTCCAAATTTAAACCTGCATCAAAAATAGCTTCTACGGTTTTTTCTAGAAGAATTCTGCTTGAACAGTCTTGAGCATCGCCTTGTGCTGTATGTACACCTAAAATAAAAATTACATAATACAGTATTGCCCAAAATAAACAGTACTGAAACTGAAACATAGATGTCTCTTTGTGCGCGCTGTCATATTCAAATAAACTACTATAGACCTGTCAAGTAATCCTTAAACAATTAATTATTAAGGCCTAATTGTTAAAAATGGTGTTAAGTACAGAGGAGAAAATTTTTCTTGTGGAGCATTATTTTCGCTTACGAAAATGTGCTTACGTAATTTGCTAATGTCTCTCCTCTGGTGTTTCTGTTACCCTGTTAGGTAATAGAAACAGAGATATTGCTTGTTGTAATTCAATCTTGAGGAGAAGATATTTAAAAAAAAAACGGATTAGGGAGAAGAGGTATTTTGGGTTTAAAAACTGAGAAAGTGTTCTATTATAAAATAAATAGAAACTTACGTATTGTAATCAAATAAAATGATTTTTAATAATATTAGTTTAGAAAGTATTAAATTAGCTGACACTATGACCGACAACACAGGTTTTAAATGATGGTTTTACAAATAACCAATCAAATGTTATTCAGCCTGCTACAAACTCAAAATAAAATATACGTGAGGAGCCTTATAATGTGTAATGTAATGTTCTAGTTTTCATATTTGTTGTATTTCTAAATTTTTGTTTATAAGTAGATTTTCTCAATGGGGTGGTAAACTTTATTGACCATGTTTATGCTTATCTAGATACTATTATATCACACCTATCGTATATCTACAGGTAGAATAATTCATCGTGGATTTATGAATTTATCTTCTTCTTCTTCTTCTCGTGCCACTCCTAGCGGAGATTGGAAATCATCATGGCCACTGCGACTTTGTTAGCAGCGCGCCTAAAAAGTTCAATCGAACTACACCCGAACCATTCACGTAGATTACGAAGCCACGATATTTTTCTTCTTCCCACACTTCTTTTGCCCTTAATTTTGCCCTGCATGATGTTTCTTAAAAGTTCGTACTTTTCACCTCTCACAATGTGCCCCAAGTATTCCATCTTTCTAGTTTTTATCTCATTTAGAATTTCGCATCTTTTGTCTAAAGTTTGGAGTACTTGCGTGTTAGTGACGCGGTCCATCCATGATATTCTGAGAATGCGCCTATAGCACCACATCTCGAAAGTTTCGATGTTTTCTATGGTCAACTGTTTTAATGTCCAAGTCTCAACTCCATATAACAGGGTAGAAAAGACATAACACCGCAGCATTCGTATTCGTAACTTAATATTGATATCACGATTGCAAAAGAGTTTGCGCATTCTATTAAAGACTGATCTAGCGATTTCTATTCTACATCTATTTTTTTTTGTTTGATCAGTATCGTCTGTTATCCAAGCACATAGATATTTATAACAGGGCACACGCTCAATCGTTGTATTGTCTATTACAAGATTAGCTCTGATGTTCTTTGATTTCGTGATTACCATAAATTTAGTTTTTTTCAAATTAATTTTCAAGCCGTAACTGTTACAGTATATATTGAGGCTTTGAACGAGATGTTGTAGTTCTACTAGCGTTCCCGTTAGGAGAAATGTATCGTCACCATACCTTATATTGTTGATCGTCTCATCATTTATTATCAGACCAAGATCTTCTTCCTCGAGTGCTTGTTTACAGATAGCTTCACTATACAGATTAAATAAAAGTGGCGATAAGATACATCCCTGCCGGACTCCTCGACGGATTTGAATTTTTTCTGTTAGTCTGCCCTCAACTTTGACATTTGCTGTTTGATTCCAATATAGATTGCATATAATTCGAATATCTCGGCTGTCTATATTTTTCTTTATTAGAACTTGTCTTAGTGGTTCATGTTGTACTTTGTCAAAGGCCTTTTCGAAATCAATAAAGCAGGCGTAAATTTCTTGGTTCATGTCTAAGCATCTCTGTGAGAGAACGTTCATTGCAAACAGAGCCTCCCTTGTACCCAGCCCTGAATTTATCTTAATAAACGTTAATTTTAGACCTCATAAAATAAATTAAAGTAAGTATTGTGGGCGGATGGGCCATTGTAATTTTTGGAGAGAGGCCCTCGATAGTTGTCCATGCTCTCTCTAGTATAAGATTCCTTCTAATTTCAGTTCTTATCCTCCTTTTTGATTTAATTTCCTGACTGATTGAAAGAATTGGAGCCCCTGCACCCTGCTGGAATACCGAAAATTAGGTCCTATGGGCCTAGTTCATATAAAAGGGATGATGCAATGGATCCGTCTTAGGGGGTCTAAGTGTCCAAAGAGCTCACAAATGGGCCCTGCCCTGATCCACCATAACCATAACCAAAGTGTTGTGAACGAATACTATAAATAACTGAAGCAGGTATTCTTAGAATATATTAGAATATTAAAGAACCAAAATGACTATCTACAGAACACTGATTGGACCCGTAGTAACCTATGGATGTGAAACTTGGCTAATGACGTAAAAAAGATCAAGCCCAACTCAGGACATTTAAGAAAAAAATACTGAGGAAAGTATATGGCCCGGTACAAGAGGAAGATGGCACATGGAGAATTAGGAGAAACGGCGAGGTTAATGAGTTAAATAAAGGTTATGACATTGTAAGATTTGTGAAAAGTCAAAGATTGTCATGGCTGAGATATGTGAAGAGACAAAACGATGCAAAAACAACAAAGAAAATGTTACAATGGAAGCCCATGGGAAGGCGAAAAAAAGGAAGGCCCAGAACGAGATGGTTGGATGACGTGGAAGACGACCTGAAAACAATGAACATAAGACAATGGAGAAGAAGGGCACAAGAGAGATCTGAATGGAAGGACATAGCCAGACAGGCAAAGACCCATCCAGGGTTATAATGCCAAAAGAAGAAGAAGAAGAAGGTATTCTTAGAACCTGATCAGGTAAAAATGCATCTCCTAAACTTTTATACTTATAATACAATTAAGCAATTTCTTGGCAATATATCCAAAGGACAATTGAATACAGTATAGAACCTGATGATCTTAAAAGGTCTAAATTATACAGTAACACGCCCATTAATTTCTTCTTTTTCTTCTTCTTCATGTGCCATCTCCTGTAATAAGTTTGGCAACCATCATGGCAATTCGCACTTTCGATACCGCTGCTCTAAATAGGTCAGCAGAATTGCAATTAAACCAAGCTATCAAATTGTTTATCCAGGAGATGCGTTTTCTTCCGCGACAACGGTTTCTAATCTGTTAGAAACATCTTTCTTTAATGCCTTAATACGTAAAACATGTAGCATCTCAGAAGTCCTATCTTTAAAGAAATTGAAATGTTCTTGCTACAGAGCCCTTTTTTCAGTTTGTTACAAGAATTTGTTGCCTGTCCTATTCTTGCCTTAATTAATTCCTTAAGAACTAATTAATTCCTTAATTAGATATAATTAGTGCAGTTGAATAGTGCAAAAAAGAACAAGAAAACTAGAGAACTGACAGCTATTAAAGATTTAAAAGAAGATGAGGCCATATGAGCTGATGAGCTGACAAGGGCAACGTAATTGTAATTATTAACATAAGTCCATAAGAAAACAAAAAGAACTTAAGATGTGCAATAATAAGACCACTACGGATTTTGTTAATATCTAAAAGAATTTAGATATTAACAAAAATGTAAAATTTAAGTCTTACCAAAAAATCCGGAATCATATTTATTAATGTAAGGAACTGAACCAGAGCCCTCAGGAATTTCAGGATGCTTATATGTCCATCTTTTATTTGGCGATATCAGGTTAACTTTGTTGAACAAATTATCTTGAAAATGATAGACATCGGTAGAATCTGGAAATGTCCCCGATAAACCTAAAATTTAAAATTCTATGAAATAAAATATTTCCTGCCCACATTAAAAATATAAATAAACCCTATAATAGTAGAGTAGATTAAAATACACTTAAAGATTGCAATCTTCAGTTTTTAATTTTCTGACGGTCATTGCATCTTTATTGCATTTCTTTATCGACAAATATAATTCAGCTTTGTACTATATTTACTTTATCATTTTTATCTATTATTTACACAATATCTGAGGTGCCCTTTTATACACACTTGCATTTGTTGTTACTCTATTTTATGACCTCTCACTTAAGGGGTTTTTTAAAAGTCCATTATAAAACTGTTTATTGTTTTTTACATTAACAAGCTAGTAAATTATAAAAAAAATCTCTGGAAAAGTCGGTTCTTTGCTTGCAATATTTAGAATATTGTCTCGCCCTAAAAAAACTAGCCAGAAACAAATCACCCGGAATAGTTAATCTCCCAGCTGAACTATTGGGACCGTGCAAGTTCGGAACAGCGACAGCTGGTGTCGTAAATCAGCAAAATTTACTGCGCTTTTATGTTAGATCCAGGTAACCGGATGACTGTCAAGGACGTGGCCCCAAAAAAGAATAAGAAGAAAAAGTAAGATTGAGGTTATGTCGAAAAGGTAAACGTTGATGTAGCGTAAATACAAATAAATATATTATTGAATTACAGCATTACTGTTAATATGGATTCAATAATAAAAACTGGATTTGAGAAAGTAAATCACCAAATAACTTTTCAACCAAGCACTGAGTCAACGGGAAAAGCTTTAGTAGTGGCAAATGTCAAAAAATAATGGAAGAATTAAGAAAAATAAATTACCATAAATAATGCTAATGCATAAATTAGCAGGTTAAGCCCATGATATCATCATATTGGTTTGAACAATTAATTCTTTCCCTGTAAACTTTTAGACAGCGAATATATCTTAATGCATCTTCAGAAAAACTTGAACTTGATGCATTCTTATAAACTTCAAAAAAATAAAATTTAAACATTAAACTTGATTTTTGGGTTAAAATGAGTGAGTGTTATGAAACTAAAATTTACACCTAAAAGTGAACTTTTATTTATTATTTATTTCATACTTACTTAAAATCGGGCGCAAGAATAATGCATAATTTGGGTTATGTTACTTATGCTTTTTTATGATATAAATCCACTTTTCTCTTTCTAGTAGCTTTGTGCTTCGAAGTTGGAAACGAATAAAACTTAAATTGACAATTTTTTGTTGTACTTTTACAATTTATAACACAGCATTTCCTAAATCCCATTTTCTTCAGAGACAGAAGGTGTAAATGTAAATAAACAAAACGAATATGAAATATGACAATTGACAATATGAATTTATGAAATCTATGAAATGTGCACTAAAAAATGCAAAATTTCTCCGCTACTCGCGCACGATCGTTTCTCGTATCCCCTTCAAGTACTTGCACGTCGACAATATATAGAAGGTGGCCATAATACTATAATGGCATTACAGTTGCTTATAAAAGAAATATGGATACAGAATTCCTTCCCCAATGATTGGAATATTGGAATACTTTGCAATAGAGTACGAATTCAGGGGGAACTGTCTGAACCTTTTAAAACAAGTAAAAGGCAGTATACTGTATACTGTTCAATCTGGCTCTGCAAAAAAAAACGTAATCCTGGCCTATGCCGATGATATCAATATTGTTGGGAGAACGGAAAACGCTGTGCGAGAGGCGTATGTAGCATTAAAAGAATCAGCTGCAAAAATGGGTTTAATAATAAACACCAACAAAAATGAAGTATATGAAAATAAGCACACAACCACAAATACTACGATCATTTGTTATAGAAAACTACGTCATCGAAGCAGTGAACGAATTTGTATATCTGGGAGCGCCCCTTAACACTGAAAATAATACTACCGCAGAGATAAACCGCAGAATTTGACCAGCCAACAGATGTTATTTTGGGCACAATCTCTTTCTTAAATCCACAATTATATCGAGAATCTTCTTCTTCTTCTTGTAGTGCCTATCCGTTTTGGATGTTGGCGACCATCATGGCAATCTGCACTTTGCACACTGCTGCTCAAAAAGATTTGTGGTTGTTGTGTTGAACTACGTTCGTAGATTTTTCAGCCAGGAAATCCTTCGCCTTCCTGGTTTTCGTTTTCCTTCTACCTTTCCCTGCAATATTAGTTGCAGCAGTCCATATCTTTCGCTGTTCCTCATGATGTGACCGAGGTAGTCGATTTTGGCTGTTTTTATTGTGGTTAACAGCTCTTTTTCTTTTTTCATTCTCAACAGAACACCCTCATTAGTAACGTGGTCGGTATACGATATCTTCAGGATGCGACGATAAAGCCACATTTCAAAAGCCTCAATTTTCTTGCAGGTGGCGTCTGTGAGAGTCCATGACTCAACTCCCTACAACAGTATAGGAAAGATGTAACATCGTAGTAACCTGATTTTTATGGGCTGTGATAAATCATGACATTTGAATAACTTAGCAATTTTTTGAAATGCAGATCTTGCTTTCTCTATTCTACATTTGATTTCTATGGAATGGTCCCAATTTTCATTGACGTTCGTACCAAGGTAGGTGTATGTTTTTACTCTTTCTATTTGTTGACCGTTTACACTGATTTGTCTAAATTGCTGTTTCTTCTTAGAGATCATCATGCATTATGATTTCTTAGTGTTTAGTGAAAGTCCGTATCTCTGACTGACCCCTGTGATTCTGTTCATTAACTCCTGGAGGGTTTCAGAGCTGTCAGCGAATACTACCGTGTCGTCCGCGTATCTAATGTTATTGATAGATTCTCCGTTGATTCAAATTCCGGCTTCATGATCACCCACTGCTTCTTGAAAGATTTCCTCAGAGTATATGTTAAACAGCAGTAGTGATAGTATACATCCCTGACGGACGCCACGTTTGATTTTGATATCGTCGGATTCTACTGCCTCTGTCCGGATAGATGATGTTTGATTCCAGCTGACAATTCTTAAATCACAGGTGTTTATTCCAATATTGGTTAATATCTCCATTAGTTTGTCGTACTTTACTGTATCGAACGCTTTATGGTAGTCAATGAAGCACGCATAAATGTCGCAGTTCACGTCTCTACATCGTTGAAATAGCACTTGTATACTAAAGAGAGCCTATCTCGTATCCACTGCATTCCGAAAACCAAACTGTGTACGGCTGATTTTTTCTTCGCACAGTCTATATATCCTTTGATGTATGATTTTTAGAAATAATTTTAAAATATGACTCATTAAGCTGATGGTTCGGAAATCACTGCAGGATACGGACTTTGTTTTCTTTGGTAAAGCAATAAAGGTCGCCTTCAGCCATGTTCTTGGTATTACTCCGCTTAAATATATGTCATTAAATACTTTTGTTAGGTGTTGAATACCGTCGGTGTTAAATAGTTTTATGAGCTCAGCATATGCATTGTCAGGTCCAGGAGCTTTGCCATCTTTTAGTTGTAATATGGCTTTTTGCACTTCATCTGATGTGATTGGTAATTGGTCGTCACATATGTAGGATGGATGTTGTTCGGATCTAGTATCATCAAAGAGTATGTATTCATTCGAGAATAACAAAAATAGAACTCTACAAAACAATAATAGGCCCAGTCCTAACATATGGTTCAGAGACCTGGACTTCAATAAAAAATAATGAAAGCATGTTGGGATGTTTCGGAAGAAAACAACTGAGGCGAGTTTATAGGTCCGTGAATGACAATGGAGTGTAGAGAAGACGATACAACTTCGAAATATAGTAGGAACCTGATATCGTAAAACATATTCAGATAGGACGTCTGAGGTGGATAGGGCATGTAATGCGGATGAAACAAAATGACCCAGCTATAAAAACGCTCCTTGATAGACCCATTGGTCAAAGAAGAAGACTTTGTTCTTGTTTTTGTTTGTTCTAGAAGGACCTAGAACAAGGTTCCTTGATAACGTCGATGAAGACATGAGAAATATGGGAATACGTGCTTGGCGAAGAAAGGGTAGGGACGACTGGAGAGAAATTCTTGAGGAGACGTATGGTTGTAAAGCCAGAATGATGATGATGACCATGTCCGCAATAGGACAATAATATCTCGATGATCTCTACGAATCATCTCATCTTCCTCAGTTAAGATAAACATATCACATTCTACCTCTTCCCGTTAAAGTGTGCAGAGATTTTACGTACTCCCAAGAGCTGAAGGGAAATAACAATAAAAAACTACGCGTGTTCGCTGGGTGAGCTCTAGAGTAAATTATCTTCAGCGATAATGCCTACTTTGGATAATTAAGTAGGTCATAAGATTTTATTTATTTAGCGTATGGACTTTCACAGTACGATAAATATACAAATACAATTACAATAATATACACATATATATTATATATATTATTCAAACACTAAAAATAGTAAAAATAGAATGAATAGAATGAATGACACTAAATATTAATGTCCAATTTACATAGCCATTCAATTGCTTCTGGGGAACATTCCGCAAAGTCCTGGAGGTTTCCACGGTAGGCACGATTCAAGCAGTCTGAAACACAATGGCTTATGGTCTGTCTAGATTCTCCGCAATCGCACTGTGGACTTTCTGCACGACCCCACCTGAACAGCGAATCAGCACATTTACCATGTCCGGTACGTATACGATTAAGCCTTGCCCAAATGGACCGGGGCAGATTTGATCCGATGAAACCCTGAGTTGGGGTGGATATCTTAATATAGTCCGATTCTACTGTTGGCATCCATCTTGTTGTCCATTGCCTATGTATATCATAGGAATTACCAATTTTTCAGGCAGATCGTATTGGAGGATTTCTAGATCTCAATCGTTGGTGCTCTTTTGAGATGTCTGGGATATCTCGATGTATTGGTAATTGTACGTTGGCTACAATTTTCTGGTACTCTCTCACTAATGCTGCTGTACGGCGTAGATCTGGTGGAGCAATATTGCTCAGAGTAGGCAGCCATCTCACTGGCGTTGATTTTATTGTTTCAGTGATTATTCTCATGGTTTGGTTAAGTTGGACATCGATTTTGCTTGTATGTGCACTATTTAGCCATACTGGTGCACAATATTCTGCCACTGAAAAAACCAAACCTAGAGCAGAGGTCCGAAGAGTATCTGCAGAAGCACCCCAAGTTATTCCAGCAAGTTTTGATATTAAGTTATTTCGTGTTCTTAGTTTACCGGCTGCGTTTGTAAGATGACTTTTGAAGGTGAGTGTTCTATCAAGTGTGACGCCTAGATATTTGGGGTTGTTGTTATTTTTGATAGCTGTGTCATTTAGCGTTACATTGAGAGTATCATTGAGATCATAAGATAGAATTGTTATATTTGGGAAAAAGAGATATAATACATACCTGAAATAACAATTTCTTCCCCAGGAGGAACGGTTGACAATAAGTTTCCTTGAATATAGTTGTAGTCTACATTGTCATTGGTATCTTCATCGTCCATATTAAGATTTTCTTTATTCTCCACAACCATGATAGATTCTAAAATAGACATGTTATTTATAAATGTATCCATAACTGTCTTTGATTTTATTATTATTAAATGTGGTTCGAAAAATGTAATGAAACATGGTCGCGTGCTTGTTATTCAATCTGTACAGCGAAGCTATTTTTAAGAAAGCAATAAAGGAGGATTATTTATTTAGCGTATGGCTACATCACAGGTTCATATAAATATAAATATATAAATGATATAAATTACAAACAAAAGTAAATATAAAAATATTATTCTACAAACAAACATCTAGATTATAAATATACTCGATTGACTCTTTTGTAGCAGCCAGGAAATCTGAAGGGTTGCCACTATAGGATCTAATCGGCATTCCTCTACCATGTGTGTTATTACTGTTTGCCTTTCGGCGCCGCAGTCGCAATTTGGTGATTGTATTTTTCCCCATCTAAAAAGTGAGTCGGAACATCTGCCACAGTTCGTCCTTATTCTATTGAGTGTGGTCCAAATTCGTCTCGGTTGGTTGAAGCCCTCAGGTTTGCTTGTAATATATGGCATGTTCCAGTTAGCTGGTGCAGCGTTATTCTCCCATTGTTCTCTCCACCGTTCAGTTACATTAAAGTTTAGATCTACTAGCCTTTTTGCTGTTTTTAGAGGCGGGTGTCTTGAACGGAGCCTATTTATGTCTCTGGCGGAAGTTCCGACATGGGAGCGGAGCTCAGGATTAGTATTGATTTTTGTAAATTCTCTGACAAGGGCATGTTCCCGGCGGATAGGTGGTGGAGCTATATGACTCAAAGCTGGTAACCAGTAAGTGGGCGTGGCCTTGATTGTGCCCGATATAGTTCGCATGGCTTAGTTGAGTTGGACATCAACACGGTGAGTATCCATACTGGTGCACAGTATTCCGCTACGGGGTATACCAGTCCTAATGCTGTCGATCTAAGTGTGGGTGCTGAGGAGCCCCATGTAGTGCCGCAGAGCTTTTGCAGGATGTTGTTACGAGTTCGGAGTTTTGCAGCAGTCTTAGTAAGATGCTCTTTAAAGTTCAGCGTTCTGTCAAGTGTAACACCTAAGTATTTTGGGTGTTTATTATATTTAAGGAGTCTATCCCCAAAATTGATTTGAGGTTGATAGTTAGCCATCTTGTTATATAAATGGAAGCAGGACACTTCTGTCTTAGTTGGATTGGGTTGCAATCTCCATTTTCGGAAATAATTCGGAAATAATAATCGTTTGTTAGAATACGTTCAGTGACCTCGAATTCTTTATGACTTGCGGCAAGCGTCCAGTCGTCTGCGTATCCAAACTTTTTTGATGTGGTTTCTGGCATGTCTGCTATATAGAGGCTGAAAAGCAAGGGGGACAGCACGGATCCTTGTGGAAGTCCATTATTCAGTTTTCTTTGGGTACTAGTCTTGTCTCCCAATATAACTTTAAAGCATCTGTTGGATATCATGGCGTTAATAACCTCAGTGGTCTTTCTGCATGGGATTATTCGCATTAATTTATATATTGCCCCTTGTCGCCACACAGTGTCATAAGCAGCAGATAGATCGATGAAGAGAGCGGTTGTTTTTGATTGCTTTTGAAAGTTTGATTCCACATAATTGGTCAGGGCGAGTACCTGGTCTGTGCAGCTGCGGTTTGGCCGAAATCCTGCCTGTTCCACTGGTAAGTGTTGGAATATGGTTTTGCTGATTCTATTATACAACAGTCTTTCGAACAATTTGTACACCATACTGAAGAGTGCGATGGGGCGGTAGTTTTTCGGTGAATTATTACTTTTCCCTGGTTTTAAAATGGCGACGATTTTTGCATTTTTGAGTTGGTGGGGGACGTTTCCCGTTTGAAGGATGTCAGAAAAGAATTCTGCGAGCCATTGCCTAGTGAATCTGCCGCTATGTTTGAGGAACTCAGCGTGAATAGCGTCGAAACCCGGCGCTTTTCCTGTTTTCATTTCATTTAGGGCTTGCGATATTTCTTCATGCGTAAATGGGTTGGAATATTCTGTTGACTGTGCAAGACTAGATTTTATGGTTTTGAGGTCTTTTTAACTTTAATTGTATGTAAACGATTTTGAGGTGCCCTAGAGGTTATAAATAAATAAAGGAGGAACAAAGGAGGAACAACAGGGTATATCATCATTGAAAAAATCTTGAACAACATAAGATTCGTAGACTGTGCACGATTATTTCTAAGCAATCCAGAATCATCACCAGATCTCTCGAAGGCAAGAGAACAATCGGTCACGTGCGCGAATTAGAGGTAGGAACTTTCTAGAACATAGTAACTTAGGTATATATATGTAACCACCTTAGGAGTAAGTTTAGTTGATAAGAGAATACCGAACTGTAAAGTTATAAATAAATATATTTATATAAATTCGGACCGCTCGTTTTATTTAAAAATGGTACAGTTGGTGTCACAGTGTGAGGACAATTGATTTATTAAAAAAATAAATTCAGCAGTGACTTTAAAAAAGAAAAGACTTTTGAACTTTTGAAAAGTATTGTTTGTCGGGAAAATCCGCGTAGTTCGGTAGTGATCGTTGTACGAAAGAACATTTAAAAAAGTACGTGTGTGCCTGACCAAAGATGCTGCTAGTACACTTTTCAGTAAAACAGTTGCGTGAGCAACTAGAAGAACGCGATGAAGACTGCAGCGATCCAAGAAGATCCTCCAAGAACGACTAAAGAATGTTCTTAACAATAATGGGGATGACCCAGAGACATTCCATTTTCAATCAGCAGAAGAAGCAGTTTTAATGAAGATCGAAGAGAGTTCCAGAAAAAATGATAAAAAATTTGAAAACGTCTCTCAAATGATTGAAGAAACTTCTAAAAAAAATGATAAAAAATTTTAAAACGTCTCTCAAATAATTCAAGAAGCTTCTAGAAAAAATGATGATAAATTCGAGAATGTATCTAGAAAATTCGACGAGACTTCACAATCATTAAAGAAGTAACTAGACAAAACGACGAGAAACTCGAAAAGGTTTCAAGAAGATTCGACGAAGTATGTACTCAGAACGATGAGAAATTTGAAGAAGTCTCTAAAATATTCGATCAGATACAGAAAAATGTAAACAACGTAGAAGAGAAAATCAAACAATTAGAGACCATGATAACGAATACGAAAGTGCTACCACCAATTAATACGGTAGCTTTAGATCCGGTAGTGAAAGAAGAATCACCTAGAGACGAAATGACACATCATATGAGATTCAAATTGCCACCATTTGATGAAAAGTCCTCTTGGTCCATATAACTTGGACAATTTAAAGCTATTGCTACAGCCAATAATTGAACAGAACAAGAAAAGTCTGTTTCCTTGACTGCTGCTTTACGAGGTGATGCTGCAGATATCCTAAGATCGATTCCTAAGGGTCAAGAAAAATGTTACCAGACCTTGTTTACTCGACTAGACAAACATTACGGAGAGGCCCATCTACAACAAGTCTACAAGGCGCAACTAAGAAGTAGAGTTCAACGAGCAAGTGAAAATTTGCAAGAGTTTGAAGCAGATGTTGCTCGTATAGTACGGTTGGCTTATCCTGAGGTACCAGACAATATTTTGGAAGAAATTGCTGTAGATACCTTTGTCAATGGGTTAAAAGAAAGTGAATTACAGAAAGCTTTACTACTAGCAAGACCGAAAGTTCTAGATGAAGCGCTCGCTATTGCTTTAGAACATGAAACAGCTAGTCAAACTTCACGGAGCCATCGAGTAAGAACCATTGAAGAAGGTGACGAACCAAACGATGAACGTCTGGAAGAGATGGTACAAAAATAGGTCGTAACACGATGCCGAAGAGACGCGAGCCCAGATGTTGGAATTGTGGTGACGTAGGTCACATTCGTCGTAATTGCAAGAAAATTATACAACAGTCGGAAAACTAGAACGGGTCGACACCAAGGGGCAACTCCATAGGGAGGCTCATATAACGGTTGCATCTTGAAACGGCTTCCAAAATCATCACCAGATCTCTCGAAGGCAAGAGAACAATCGGTCACGTGCGCGAATTAGAGGTAGGAACTTTCTAGAAGATAGTAACTTAGGTATATATATGTAACGACCTTAGGAGTAAGTTTAGTGGATAAGAGAATACCGAACTGTAAAGTTATAAATAAATATATTTATATAAATTTAAACCGCTCGTTTTATTTAAAAACGGTACAGTTTGTTAATCAAGACATGGAATGCTTCCTCTGGAGCTAAGGATAAGAGCCCTAAGAGGCTACGTGTTCTTGACTTTGTTGTATGGAATGGAAAGCTGGACACTAAAAGTCGATAATATAAAGAAGTTGTAATCATTTGAGATGCGGTGCTATAGAAGGATTTTGAAAATACCATGGACTTAACGAGTTACAAATGCAGTGTTAAGAAGGCTACAAAAGGATTGCGAGGTCATAAAGCACATTAAAACGAGAAAGATGGAATATTCAGGCCACATTACCAGAGGTGCGAAATATGATATATGAAGTAAGGCTCATATTGCAATGTAAAATCAATGAAAAAGATCCAAAAGGATACGAAAAATTTCCTGGCTAAGAAACCTAAGAGAGTGGTATAGTTGCAGCTCAATAGATCTTTTCAGAGCAGCCGCCAATAAGGTACGGATAGCTGACAGCCAACCTGCGATAGGAGAAGAAACTGCAAGAAAAAAATTCACGTTGTCTTAGTGATGGGCATAATTATTAAAAGAGGTATATAAAATTAGTAATTAAGAATTCGAAACCAATAATATTAGAAGAAAATAAGAGTTATCTGGACTGACGTTAAAACACTCGTAAACAATATTGGAAAAACTCAATATTGTTGATAACTATCTGGTTAAAGTGAAAGTTGGTATAGCAAGGAATTCTTCAAAACATGTCTATCAATATCTCCTTATTCTCAAGAAAAATCTATAGATAAAAAAATCATTTCATAAAATAACCTCAAAAGAAAAGGAAAATCGAAAATAGTTGAAAATAAAAAATAGAAAAGTCTTTCAGTACAGATACTAATGTGAAAAA